ATTGAAAAGCCCCATTAGATCATATTTAGTCTATCACACAGTCAGCAGGATTGTCCCATGCCATATTCTCCAGTGGTTTGCAGGTCTAGTTTTAAAATGACTCAACAGATGGTTTTCACCCCCTTCCTTGGAAATCTATTTTACATCTCAGTAGATCTCACTATCAGAATGTTTTTCAAATGGCGGTTATGGAACACACATTAGGAGGTAGGGCAGTTATATTAAAGCCTTGAATTGAAGGGATTTATTGCCTGCAGAGATGCAGCAGAACTGATACAATTTTTTAAATTTTTCTTTCAGAACCTCACATACCCGGAAGAGCAACGACGTATGCAAAAGACCACATGTTCCAGCTTTTCTATTGCATGCTCTTCCCCTTGGTGTTAACTGCTTTCTTGTAGGCTGTTCAGTATTTGCCAAATATTAAATAATAATATTCTTGGGGAGGGAGGGGGGAATTATAATGATTAATCTAATTGGCATGGTTACATTCAATTTATATATGTTCCAGTGTTCTTAAATGAACAAAATATAAAAAAGTGGAGCATTTAATTTCTGCTTGATAATACATTATTGCATTATCCTACCACAGTGGTTCCCAAACTGGGGTTTGTGAAATTTTACAGGGGGTTCTCGGGGAAAAATTCCCCAATGGCAGACAGAGCTGTCCCTAGGGACTCCGGGCAGCATGAGGCCAGCAGCCCGGAGCCCCTGGACTTCCAAGAACTAAGCAGATCAAAGCATCTCTATCACACTGAGTTTTAAACTTCAAGACTCCTTATAAGAAATGGAAAGGGAGGTGGATATTTTTTGCTGTTTTTAAAATGAAATAGGCAGCTAGGATTGTTTTTAAAATTATTATGAAGAACAAGTTGAAGCTTTGTTGTAACGTGCGTTGTTTGCCTGGACTGCTCAAGACCTGAATGCTTGTGTAGGAGGAACTCTTTGAATTGGCTTCTTAAATCCCTTCCTGTTGTTTCACATCTGATACTCCTTGATGAAACATAGGAGCCGTGTCTTATAACAAGCTTATTCAAAGTGATACAAGCTACGAAACTGAGATCTTGTTGCCGTTTTCATAATGTAATAAAAATACTGTAATGATAAATAATAACTAATAATAGTGTGTAATAAGCATGTCATAAAAACAAATGTTATATTTCCAAGATCACGGCTTTTATAATTTATACTCAGGTAAAGGAGAAAATCCCTGGAAATATTCATTTTTAGGAGGTGGTTCACGAGATTTGACATTTTAGTGAAAGGGGTTCACAGGTTGTTAAAGTTTGGGAACCAGTGCCCTACCATCATCAGTCAGCACTGCTGTTGGTAAAATGCTTAAATAAATGCAAAATGTATGTCTAATCCTGCAAACTTCATTAGGGCTATTGACAGTTACAAGCACTACCCACAACAGTGTTTTCAGAATCAGGTCCTAAATAATTATAATTAAGTGTTGTTATTCTTCGCACGCTAATGACCATTAGTAATACATGTTATTTTTCAGCCATCTGTGTTTATCACTAATATTTAAGCACCTTTTATCAAAGCATTTTCACAACCATTACTTTTAAAAAAAGTAATTAATGTCAAGTCAATGCAAATAGAGGAACATCTGAACAAATACGAGTTCTCTATCATTATCTGTCATGCTAGGTTCTCTGTAGGGCCCCATCTGTCTTTCTATACACAAGGCTTAAAACAGTATGGTTTGAAGGTCTTCTAGTCAAAAAGACCCACGTTCTAAACCTGGTTCTACCACGGACTCAATGTGTGGCCTTGGGAAGTTGTTTCACCTGGTGCCGCTACTGACTCATTGTGTTGCCTTAGGAAGTTATTTCACCTTTCTGTGCCTTGCTTTCCCCATAATGGAAATAATCCCTACTTCATGGGGACACGGTGGGAATTATTTTTTGTACAGCGCTTTGAACACGGAAGGTGTCATAAATGCTAAGATTTATAGGAGGCCCCACCCACACATGGAGCACTCGCAGAATTGGCTCCATTGTCCATTTTATGCCCATGAAACATTTCAGTAGCAAATGTAGTGACCCGTGTTTATCTAGCATGCCGTGTTCCAGCTGCAGAGCAGCATTCCCTCGGGATGGATCATGAGGGATAGTCAAACTTTTGTTTTCATCCCCGCGATTTTGAGGGAAAACTTTCTAGCACAGCAGGGGTGGGGCAAGAACATCAGCTAAATAAAAATGCTCCGAACAACAGGGGCGAACCCCTGGCACGCTGCCACTGTTTTACAATGTAAGGGGTTGCTGGGCGGCCTGTGTTTGGTCTCTCTAGGCAATCAGCGCTGTCCTGCGGCCTGTAACTCAACAAACGTGCGACGTGCCATCAAACAGGCGGGTGCCCCCCATGACCTGCAGGCAGCAGCAGGAGAAAGCCCATGCCCCGCTGCCTGCAGGCTGCTCATAGGGTGACCAGATGTCCTGATTTTATAGGGACAGTCCCCATTTTGGGGTCTTTTTCTTATATAGGCTCCTATTACCCCCCACCCCCGATTGGTCACACCTGCTGTCTGGTCACCCCAGCTGCTTAGCCCCTGTCTGCACCACCCCAACACTCCTGACTAACCCTGGCGAAGCAGGGGTTAAATACCCCCATCCGGCCACCGCCTCGCTACTAGCCTACCCATCCCCCCCTAACGAGTGCTGCACCCCTCCACCCAGACTCGCAGATTCAGACAGCAAGGAGGCGGCGCGCGCACGCGCACTACCTTTTTTTGAGGTGTGACTTGAGACGCCGACGCATGCGCAAATCTACTCCGTTTGGGCTATTGAGGCTTCCGTCCGCCGCGGTTTCCGGCAGCGTGAGAACGGCTTTTACGGCAGCGTGGCTTCTCGCTGTTACCCCCTCACGCCGTCGCTGCCGCTGCGTGCTTTCCGGCAGCGTGGCCGGAATGGCGTCTCCTTTCAGCGGGGTGCTGCAGCTGGCTGACCTGGATGATTATATCGGGCCCTCGCAGGTGGGGAGCGCGCTGGTTGGCTGCCTGCCAAGGGGCGCGAGGGCGGGGGAGGCTCCGCACGGCACGGGGGTGCCTGGAGGGGGGCGGGGCTGTGAGGGGGCAGTTGAGGAGTTCCCCCCGGGGGCCGGGGATAGGAGTTGCCTAGGGGATTTGGGGTCCCCGCCGGGGTTGGAGGGTCCTCCCGGGGATGAGGGATTGGGGGTCCCCCACTGTGGCCGGGGGGGGTAATAGAGGATTGGGGAATCCCCCGGGGGGTTGCCTAGGGTATTGGGGATCCCCATGGGGGATGGGGGATAATAGGTGATTGGGGGTTCCCCGGGAATGGGGAGTTGCCTAGGTGACTGGGGGGGGGTCCCCTGGGAATGGGGAGTTGCCTAGGTGACGGAGGGGTCCCCCCGGGAATGGGGAGTTGCCTAGGTGACGGGGGGGTCCCCCTGGGGGCCGAGGGTGGGGGTTGACTGGGGGGTCCGGCTGGGGGATAATAGGGATTGGGGCTCCTTGGGAGCTGGAAAGCGGGGGGTCGCTGTGGGGATATGGGTGATTGCAGGTTTGTCTGGCAAGGGGGGGTTATTCAGGGGCCCGTGCAGGGGGAGGTGTAAGGGGGGAGGGGGGGTTCTGCAGAGTGTGGGAGTGGAGGGGGATGAATGGTGTTGCCCCCTCTTCTCAGTCCCCGCTCCTGTCAGGTGAATGCTTGGGTAGATCCCTCGGGGGAGTGCCTCTGCCCCTGCTCCCAGCCCATGCCAGGGTCCCCTGGGCTGGGTATCCCCAGGTGGGGGGAGTTCTAGGGGCTTCCCCAGCTTGGTGGCCACTGGGTCTTTGCCTTGCCTTGCCCTTCAACTCCACTCCCAAGAGGTGGGGCCCATGCTGACTGCTCATGGTTGGCCTCACATAGGTTGTTTTCTGGTAGATTTGAAATAAGGTTTCTGCTTCAATGGGCTGTGGATGCCCCTGTGTCTCTCCTTTTCCGCTCTGAGCGCCTAGGGTGGAAGGCGCTATTGCCGTGCATGGTGGTTGTTATTACATTTCTCCTCTAACACGTCCAGAAAAGGGATTGTTTCCTTTACTACTGAAGTGCAGCCACCTCTGGAATAGAGCACGGAGGCTGAGTAACGGTTTGTAACACCACCACGCAACCAGTGGAAACATTCTCATCTTGAAAAAGCTGCTTCTGCACTTCTAGGACAGCTGGAAAACAAATTGAGATAAAATCTTCCAAGATGTTTTTTTTTAAATTCTTACAAGGGCTCCTGTAATATTACCCTTAAAGTGTAAATTATGGACTACAATAGAATATCATTTTGTAAATAGTATCCTCCAAACAGATGGAACCGATAAAAGGAGAGCTGATATAGAAGAGCAGAAAAGACATCAGTCAGCATCCGACACAAAGTAGTTGCAGTATGGAGGGAATGGAAAGTGGCAGGAACAGAGGTGAGCTTTGCTGTCATTTGTAAATCAGAGCAAATAGGAAAGCAAGACTGGAGAGAGTTGCTAACAGAGCAGCACAAGTGAGGAGAGGACATAGGACCACGGGGCTAGAAGTGGGGAGTAAGTCTATGGATAGGTTTGTTTGATTTAGATTCAGTGAGCATAACTGGGGCATCAGAGTGATTTTGTCCTCCCTGCAATGGGAGCATTCTGAACCCCCCTAAATTCAGAGCAGAGATTTTTAGAAGCAGGATTTACAGTAGTCAAGATGGGGAAAAAAAGATTTTGGTAAAGTGAGGATGATTTAAGGTCAGGATGAATTCTGGCAAGGCTGCTAGTCAGACTTATAGACAAGGGAGGTGTGGGCGCACAAACAATGCAACTCTTGCAAAGTATAAAAACACCCTCAAGACTTCAGTCACTGAACTCTAACACACTAAACCGGAAACAGTCCATATAAAGTCATCTGCTTGCCCTCAACATCAAATGAAATTTCATTGGCAATAGCCACATGTTGAATGTAATGACCACGCCTCCTGTCTGCTAAAACTCACAATGAAGAATTCCTGATCGCCCTTCGGGATTCTGGAAAGGACAGAACTTTTCAGTCATCTGTTTTGAGCAAGACTTCTTTAAATCTGAGTGTTTCACACTGGCAGCAAAATTGTTCTATAGTTTTGGTTATGATGTTGGAAAAGTGTTCATTCTGTAAAAATGGGGTAAGCAGATTTTGTATGTTTGATTTTTTGCTTGTCTCCTTGGTGGTTACAGGAATTGTAAGATTGCACATTAAACAAAGAATCCAATGCAGCTTAAACCAGAGATAAGTTTCCACTCTGGAACTGATCTTTGTTTACACTCTGTCCAGTTTCAATCAGTCTTTTCCTCTCCTGCCTCTTTCATATTTAAAGGTTCCTCTCCTTCATTTTTGACTTTATTTCTGTTTTAGGATTGTGTAAAGCCAATAAAAGTTGAAAAGAAACCTGGAAAAACAGCTGCCAAGATCCGAATTGAAGATGATGGGAGCTATTTTCAAATCAATCAGGTAAGAATGTTTTCCCCTTGTAATCATTGTGTAGAAAAACCCATAAATTACCTTATTATTCTGCACATAAGTATGTTACAACTATTAAATATCTGATACCCAATGATTGCAAAAGTGATAACAATGTAAATCACTCAGTCTGAGATGATGTCCATTGTCACTGTTACTCATTTGAAAGAGTGGGAGTGGGTACTCAATTAAAATAGATGTGACTAGCTGCTGGTAATTCATTTTATTTTTCGTTCTGATTCTTTAAAAGATATTTGTAAAGTGGCTTGTCATGTAATTGCATAACCTTTAGAACTAGCTGATGATAGAATCAAAGCCAGCGGAGTTGTAATGAACTATTTTCATGGTTGCAAAAGTAGAATGACAGCAATTTGGCGGTTAAGTGAGCTGGGAGCATTCTAGAAATGATGTTCTCAGCTTCAGGGGTTAGGGTGTACTTCCTGCACAAACTTGAGATGCTGCTCTTTCAAGAGAGTGTGATGTCTGTGTTGAGTCGAAGATGGAGCCTGCTGCATTACTGGTGTCTGTTAAGGAAGGTGCGCAGGGGTCTGATTGTGCCCTAGAGCAGCCATCATTTAGTGGGTGAAAGCAGTGTTTGCCATGAGATTAAGGCTATCAGTACCCTGCTGCTCAGGTTAGGATTTTGGTTTCTGACTTTCAGTTTGGTCTGACTGAAGAGTGATGTTGGGTGATGGGGGGGCCCCCAAAAACAAAGTCATTTGAAAACCAGGGCCGCCCAGAGGGGAGGGCAAGTGGGGCAATTTGACCCGGGCCCCACAAGCCCTGGCCGAGAATCCCTTCCCTGGCAATTCACCCAGCGGCGTTCCGGGTGTTCGGCAGCGGGGGGCCTTTCAGTCGCTCCGGGTCTTCGGCGGCATTTTGGCGGCGGGTCCTTCAGTGCTGCCGAAGATGCGGAGCGACTGAAAGACCCGCCACTGCCGCAGACTCGGAGCGCCGCCCGGTGAGTACAAGCGCCGCAGCGGGTGGTGCCTTTTTTTATGTCCGCTCCCCCGCTTTGCCCCAGGCCCCCTGAATCCTCTGGGCGGCCCTGTTGAAAACTGACTTACTCAGTTCAAACATGTTGGCAAAATTCTCTTAGTACCATGTAGCAGGTTGTCTTTGACATGTTCTGCATACCGATCTCTGATTCTTATGGCTAGAAATGGATCTGATCTGTTTCTTTCTAGGATGGAGGAGCACAAAAGCTTGAAAAGGCTAAAATTACCCTGAATGATTGTTTAGCTTGTAGTGGCTGCATCACATCTGCAGAAAGCGTGTTAATCACTCAGCAGAGCCATGAAGAGCTCTACAAAGTGTTAAGTTCCAATAAGGTAGGTGATACTCAACTGATGCAGTAGCCAGCAGGTAGGCTCAAGAATTTGAAAATCATACTGTTTGATTGCTGATGCACAGGTAAAATAATGTGTAAGAAGATCTTCTGTATCCAGATTAGTCTTCAAGAACCAAAAGGTATTGTAGGACATCCACAGCACAACATATTTGTGTTCCTCTGAATTTTAAAAATTGTCAGAATAGGTTTGTGACAGGATCATAAGATTTCATATAGTAATCTCTTGATTTGGAAGTGCAACATCTTCCCCCACTGGATCATACTTTAAAAAGAAAACCATGGACAAGTATCTTCTAAATTACGAACATATCAAAGATGCTGTATCTTAACTGTTCAGGAAATAATAATATTCCAAACTTCTTGTTTTTCAGACTGCAGCTCCTAATCAACAGAAGCTAGTTATAGTTTCGGTTTCACCACAATCCAGAGCATCACTAGCTGCAAGATTTAAGATGACGCCTCTAGAAACAGCAAAGAAATTGACAGCATTCTTAAAAAATTTAGGCAAGCTTGTTACCTTTTGGTAATCGCAGATGAAATTTTGGGGTATAGCTTACTAACATTCCAAGTGCAACTTCTGTTTAAGTCTGTAGAAGTTGCATGAATAAACTTCCAAGTGCCTGTTTCAAAAATCATAACATGAATGGGAATTCAGACCTCTGTTACTTTGATGGCATATTAAGATCAATGTGAGGGAAGGGATCCTAAAACACTCCATCATCAATTCATTTTTCTCATTCAGTTTTTCTATTAGCCTGTCTTCTTACGTACTAGGAAACGGTTCTGTTTCTAATTACAGCAGTCTATAAATATGTAAAAATACCAGGATTTAATCTAATTGGGCTGGATTTTTGTGGTGTAGTTTGTAGCATTTGTCAATTTTTTGGTGGCTTTAATATCTCTATGCTATCTAGGTGTGCACTATGTGTTTGATACAACTTTCTCAAGAAACTTCAGTTTGCTGGAGAGCCAACGAGAGTTTGTACGACGCTTTCAAAGGCAAACTGAAGATAAAAAGGCTTTGCCCATGCTGGCCTCTGCCTGTCCAGGTATATTGTAAAATAGTTAAAAATGGCTATAGAAGTGGTCAGATAATGTGGCAGACTAACTGCACACTAGAGGAGTGTAATAAATGACTGAAAAAGTTAATGGCTAAAACCACGCAGAAGTGAGACTTGCTCTTGGTGCCATGAAGTTCTCTTTTAATGTCTGTTAACATTCCATTCCACTTAGACAGGGACTACGGTGCTGTGAGGATATTATAAATGTCTTCAGTGGTCTTGTAAAGAAAGACATTTGTTCTTGAATATGATTACATGAAATGTGGAAGTTCTTACCCATAACGGTACAGATGTTTAAGTGCATTGTTACTTTGCGAAGCTAGTCTTGTCCCAGAATCCTGTTGGTAAGAGCTATTCCTATACCGTGTGCAGAAGAGAGGCTGAAAATGGTTGTTATTGGCTGGTAATAAGGCTGATTCTGAAGCCACTGAAAGTCTGTGCATTGATTAATTATACTTCATCTTTTCGCAGGTTGGATCTGCTATGCGGAGAAAACTCATGGAAGTTTTGTTATTCCTTACATTAGTACCACTAAGTCCCCACAGCAGGTCATGGGCTCCTTGATCAAGGGTCACTTTGCAAAACAGCAGGTAAAGCTTAACAGGAAACTGTAGACATTAGATCTTGAGCGGTGTTTAAAACATTGTTAAAGACATTGTATTAAATAGGATTGATTTACAGATCTGAAAATCTTGTAGATCACTAGCAAGTCAGCCTGTCTATCATCTCCATTTAATTTCATGAGAAGCTTAGAATTGGAGAGAGAGTATTAAGATCAGACTCATGCCACCTGGTGTCTCCTTCGCCTCCCTTCCAACATTTGGTATTAGAGCAGCCCACCCACCCCACCCCCTCAACCACCACCTTTAGCTGCCTAGCTCTTTCCCTGCCAGTGCCTATGGGAGCAGAGTTTCAGGTTTGGCATTGAAAAGGTCAGTTAAAACCTCAATCCGTTATTCAACAAATCCAGAAGAACTGGATTTGTCACATCTCTCCTACCATCCTATTTGCTTTTCTGGTGGGGGTTTTTTCCTATCTAAAAGCAAACTACTACCACGATCTTAGAGAGCTTGAATTCATGTTTACATGCAGATAGTCTCTTACTAAAAAATTATGTGCTTTCCCCCCAGCTTAATGTTTCTATTTCAGTTTGATTTAATACTTTTCTATCATTGTTGCCTCTGGAATTCCTCTAAATGTCACTTTGATGTCTAAAGACTGGTGTCACTCTTATAGCCAAAAGTTGAATCCACCAAGAAACTTGAGCATTGCTGCTGCCATGTTTGATTATCCATTCATGAACATTGGTTTTAACGCTTTTGTTGAATAAACTCAGACATCTGGCAACTACACCTCTACCCTGATATAATGCGACCCGATGTAATACAAATTCGGATATAACACGGTAAAGCAGCGCTCCGGGGGGGCGGGGCTGCGCGCTCCGGCAGATCAAAGCAAGTTCGATATAACGCGGTTTCACCTATAACGCGGTAAGATTTTTTTTTTGGCTCCCGAGGACAGCGTTCTATCAGGGTAGAGGTGTACTCAGAGCATTTGACAAGAGATACTGAAACAATGGCCTTGATTCAACAACTTGTTTCCTTGGTCCCTGGGAGCTTCTTGGATTGTGATGAACTTTTGTACCTGTCTTCAGCTAATTTCCTGGAGTTGCTGTTGCAGAATATAAATTGTCATTGCATGCCTGGGGCAATGGATATGAAACACATCTGACTACTCATGTAATTATGGACTCTTAACTAACTAAATCAGCCAGGATTGTCTGGCTTAATAGAGGAAACAAACCAAAAAAAAAAGCTATTGAAGCTTGCTACAGAGATTGTTACTCTATTATTCTTTCCTGCACAATTGGGAAGGAACAGAAAGTATTAATTCAGGTACTGAAATTGTTAGCAGCAAAGGAGATTTCTAGCAGCACAGTGGGCTTCTAGCTGATCCACTCCTACTTGTGCCTTAATTAAATTAATTAATAGCAGTTAGTGCAACTGTACAAATTTTTTTTTTTGGCAGCATTTTTCACCTGACCAGACCTACCATGTGACAGTAATGCCCTGTTATGACAAAAAACTGGAAGCTTCAAGACCAGACTTCTTCAGCCAAGAGTACCAAACTCGTGAGGTTGACTGTGTAATTACTACGGGTAAGGGATCCAGAGGTCCTCCATTGGTTCTTATGATATAAGGTAGTAGCTGCTGATCCTAAAAGAATGCTCTGAAATGCCATGAAGACTATGCTATCTAGCTTCACCTCTCTTGTCCTCTGACCCACAGATACGCACTAGACTAGAGTGCTTTGTAAAATATGCTTTCATGACCTCTTATCTGTTCTGTCAGTAATTTTTGCATTTGAACGCTTGGTTTTCTAGGACATTAGCCAATGAAAACTTTTCTACTTGAAATGTTTTTTGCATTCACCTTTGAGCCTTCTTGGTTCAGACTGCTTTCCTGCAGAGCATCTCCAATTGCCACACAATAGAAGTGAAATAAGTTACGAAGAAATAGTCACCAGGGGACAGTTGGCATTAATTACATTTGTGGATTTAGGCTTTCATATTGATGAACATTTTTCTTTACCCTAAAAGAGAACACTTACACCGGTGTTTCTGTTTCAGGAGAAGTTCTACGCTTGTTGGAACAAAAGGGAGTCTCTCTGTCAGATGTGGACGCGTCTCCTTTGGATACCATGTAAGAACAAATGATCTCCCTTAAACGTTTACTGAAATACTCTCTCACAGCCAGGTTCTACAGCAGAATTTGCCCCTTCCACAAATGATTTAACACTACAAAAGTTGCAGATATTTGCATCTTTTGTACATCTTACTCCGATTTTTGCTGTTGTCATACTGATTTTGAATCTGTTAAGAACAATAGTGCATCATAAACTGCTCTGTGCAATCTGCAAGATCAGGTTAGTAAGCATTTTAAGAGACGCTGAAGGTAACTGTCTGCTGTAGACTTATTTTCATAGCCCAACCATTAAGAGCTGTTTTTCTCTAAAGCAGCAGAAGTGGATGAATTCACTTAGTAAGATTGTTAGTGACATAACTGTTCTGCACTTTTCTGTCCAATCTTTATTACTTTATATAGTTAACATTCACACTGTATCTGTGTTTTTAGAGACATTACACCAAGCACAACTTTAGAAACTAATGAGCAAATGGAAAAATGAAATGGTCTAGAATGGAGAATATAATATGATCATACAGAAATGTACAGGTCTGCTATGTTTAGTTTTTTAGTACTGTATGTATTCCAGTGCTAAAGAACAAATGAGAAAATATCAAGGTAAATTCAGCTAGTCTCTAGGCATTCTCTTATTCAATAAAAGCATATTGAACATGTGCAAAGCAGATGAGACTGCTTAATTGCTTTAACTGAAAAGTAACTGCTGGCTAAATGCCAACTGCATGGAAAGCTAAGTGACTACAAGAATTTAGAGGATTTAGAAATCAGATGTTTTATTCATCTAAATTGGCATTAGCTGCAGTATTCCATAGCACATTAAACTAAAAGGATGTGTTTTCATCAGTGCGTGGAAAGTGACTTTGCAGTACTTTGATACACTAATAAAACTAAAGTGTTACAAATTCAGTATTTCCCTAGAAGCTGTTAAAGAAGAAAATAGATGTACATGGCCCTGTAGGCTAGTGTACAAGATTTTGCCTCATGGTTAGAGCATGTGTCAGTATAATAATGCCTACATCTGTAATTTTCACTCCATGCATCTGAAGAAGTGAGTTTTTTGCCCACGAAAGCTTATGCCCAAATAAATCTGTTCATCTTTAAGGTACCACCGGACCCCTTGTTGTTTTTATCATTAACATTTCCATAGCAGCAAACAAAATCTCTAACTCTTTGATAAAATCTTTGGCTAACTTATTAGAAGTGCTTGTTTAATATTATGTCTCATGCTTAGTGATGATAATGCTCCTCTCTAACCTTTTGCGATCCTTAACCTACTCAGTAAATTGACTGGTCATAAACAGCACGTATTCCCAAGAATTTGGAGGATTAACATAAGCAGTCAAATGGTTGTTGTTCCATTTATTCCTTTGGCATGTGGAAAAGGCCACTAAGAGGTTATTAAATTTGGCAGCAAGAATGATACAAGTGCCAAAAATCCTTGTGCTTTTGCTGGTATTACGGCTTGCCTTAGCCAGTGATGGGGCTTACTGTCCTCCTCCTTTTCATAGAGCAGCAGTACGTGAGGCTGGACACACTGAAACACTTATTAATGAATCACAGTTCCTGTAAACAAGAGTTGAGTTAAAAATAGCCTCTGAAGCTGATTACAGGGTGAAAAATTGTCTTTCACAGTTCTAAGGCTGAGATTTTGATCTGCAAGTGGCAACATCTTAGATCTGACTGAAATCCCAGGTGTTTTCCCTTCTGCAGCTGTGAGCAGCAGAATGCAAGTGTCACACTGATGAAAAAAGAACAAGGAGTACTTGTGATACAGACTAACACGGCTACCACTCTGAAAACTGTTTGAGTGGGTATAAGCACATAGCTCTTCTGATTATCCTCTCATAACAAAAGCCATTGTTGTGGTTTGCTATTCTCAAGGAGCATTACACTGACCTTCCAAATAGACAGCTGTGCCTTGTCAGATTACTGGAATTGTTTGAGGTGTTTGACCCTTGGCTTTTCTTGGCATTATTTAGGCCATATAAACACGAGTGTTCCCCTTTAGCTTGCAGGCTTCTAGGAAAGACTGAGCTAAAGTTCAAGAGGTTTGGCCTTTGTTCTTCCTGGTTTCCTAGAAGTTCGGTGGTTAAGGGTATGGAAACCAGCTGGCCAGAATTGATAACTGAGGCCGTTTTCCCCTCCCAGCTATCCCAGTTGTACTGGAACATCCGCTATATAAATGCTTTTGGGATAAGTCCCAATTTCTGGGTCTGAAGTGGATTCATGGAGGCTGTTCTATTGGCATTTCCCTGTTATTGGAGAGAAGTGCATAAGCAGCAAAACTACTTTCAATTAAAAACAAAATTCAGCAATAGGGTTGCTGGTTATTCTGCAGAGTGGACATGGATCCTTCAGAAATGGAAATCATAGAATATCAGGGTTGAAAGGGACCTCAGGAGATCATCTAGTCCAACCCCCTGCTCAAAGCAGGACCAAGCCCCAGACAGATTTTTGCCCCAGATTCCTAAATGGCCTCCTCAAGGATTGAACTCACAACTCTGGGTTTAGCAGGCCAATGCTCAAACCACTGAGCTATCCCTTCCCCCCATGAATGAGATATGAAGTGGAAGACCTGTTTAAATACCCAGGTGTGATAGGTGCTCTAGAAATTCCTACAGTGGACATGTTTGAAGGCGGTTGCTATTGGATGGGCTCTCTAAGACTGTACGGTCATGTAAAGCTAGACTCTGCAACCAGTCTCCTTTTTTTAATTGGAAGCTTCAGTTTAACCATTATAGAAGCAGAAAAGTAACAAGTCTGAGCAAAATTCGTTAGATGTTCAAATAGACACTTGTAGTAGGGATTAGCAGAGATGTTAGAGTTTAAGGCGTAAACACTCTGATAACCGTGACACAGTGAAAGTTATCGGGAGATGGTATGTTTGACTTGGAACAAATTTTCCTTTTTAAAAGTTTTAAAAGTTGGATCAAGCCCATACCTGACAGTGTAGTGTTAAATTTACATAGCCCTGAAATTATCACTAGTCAATACCGGGCAGTTCATGCTATCGGACGGGAAGCTGGTCTCAAGAAACTAAATTACAGCTGGCTACGTATTACTTCCAAATTCCTTCTTGTGCATGGTGAAGTAATTCTGTTTCAAGAGGGGAAAAGGGCTTTTTTACTTGTGGTCTGAAACTACTTCACCGTCGTTGAAATCGGATTCTCAGTGCCAATGGATGTAGCACTGGGTATCCTATTTTATAAGCAGGTGCAAAGAGGGGCCTTCTTTTTCTTCCCTTTTCCCTAGGTTTAGCAGCGTTTCAGAAGAGGAGCTCCTTGGCCATTCTGGTGGCGGTTCTGGGGGCTATTTGGAGCACATATACAAGTATGCAGCAAAAGAACTGTTTGGGATTCAAGTGGATGAAGTTCAATACAAACCTTTAAAGTAAGGAATTGAAACTATGTTGCTGTATTTCAGTGCAGTTCTGTTTACACTCTTCTCCTGGCGGTAATCAAAGAGCAATCTTCAGTGTTAAACATTTTACAGCAAGCCATGGCAATTGGCTCCCTACTCCCACAGTTAACTTAGCAATGAATCAGCCAGCAGTCTGTGCAGCCTTTTCCGTTGGTGCTTTCTTGACCCCTTCCCCATCACCCACATAGTGTTCTGCATTGTAGATTTCCCCACTATTAAGCTACAGCAAAAAATTAGAACAACCTGGCAGCTGAAGCTCTCATGGAAATGAGGGAGCCCTTCACCTGTCATCAGACACTAAAACAGATGTGTTGGGATTTTAATTCCTCCTCCCTAATTGTGTTAACTAGTGGTTAGCTTAGAAGAGTAGGTGTCAGGACTCCTGGGTTGTATTTCCAACTTTGCCACCCAGTTGCTGAGAGACCTTGAGCAAGTCACTTAAATCTCTCTGTGCCTCACTTTAAAATGAGACTCCTGCCTGCCTCCCAGGTGTGTGTATAACGTATCATTTGTAGGGCCCTATAGAAGTACATACTAACATGGGGATTTTTATGTCCAGACACTGATAGGCTTTGATCTGCTGAAGAGCAACAGCAAAGTGGTCAGCTAGGGTGAGTGCACCTGAGGGATGCTAAGAGGAATCCATGCACAAGTTGTTCTCGTATTTCCCAGCCACCATGTGCAGTGCATGGCTATTTGGCCAGGGAGCAGCACAGCTGGCCTGATCTGAGCTGCCAAGTGTGCCCATTGTCTGACTGAGCGAGACTGGAGATTGACATTAAGAAGTGTACAAACATCAGTTTGGAGAAAATGGTTTCCATAGCATACTGTTTCTCTAGTTTTGTAGTTAGTTGCGTTATAACTGTTCTGTTACTACTAAAGACACCAATAATTGATGTTCACCAGAGTGACATCTGCATATGTGGACATAAAAATGTTCATCTTTACGCACTTTTCCTTTTGTATTTGAGGTAGAACTGGGGTTTAGGTCCCTAATTTAATTAGATTTATGGAGGTTAGTTTCTTCCCCAAGAACTCTCTTGTCCTCTGCTGCCTCAAAGAAGGACACAGTTTCTTGAAGTTTTATGCAAAAGCTTATTCAAATAAACTTGCTCTCTAGTATTCAGTCAAGTTCCAAATAGAGAATTAATTTAGACAAATGATTTTGCCTGCTTTTATTCCCTAGAAACAAGGATTTCCAGGAAGTGACACTGGAAAAGGATGGCACAGTCCTGCTGCAGTTTGCCTTGGCTTATGGATTTCGAAACATACAGAACTTAGTGCAAAAACTGAAACGAGGAAAATCACCGTATCACTATGTTGAAGTCATGGCTTGCCCATCAGGTAAGGCTACACAGGGACTTTCGCTGGTAGGTCAAGGTTTGCTGTAAGACTTTTTAGGATTTCTGAAGTTCTGAGAGCTGGATTGAGAGGGACCTAGACAAATTAGAGGATTGGGCCAAAAGAAACCTGATGAGGTTCAACAAGGACAAGTGCAGAGTCCTGCACTTAGGATGGAAGAATCCCATTCACCGTTACAGACTAGGGACCGAATGGCTAGTGGTTACAGTGGATATGAAGCCGGATATGAGTCAACAGTGTGCCCTTGTTGCCAAGAAGGCTAACGGCATTTTGGGCTGTATAAGTAGGGGCATTGCCAGCAGATCGAGGGATGTGATCATTCCCCTCTATTCGACATTGGTGAGGTCTCATCTGGAGAACTGTGTCCAGTTTTGGGCCCCACACTACAAGAAGGATGTGGAAAAATTTGAAAGAGTCCAGCGGAGGGCAACAAAAATAATTAGGGGGCTGGAGCACATGACTTGTGAGGAGAGGCTGAGGGAACTGGGATTGTTTAGTCTGCAGAAGAGAAGAATGAGGGGGGGATTTGATAGCTGCTTTCAACTACCTGAAAGGGGGTGTCAAAGAGGATAGATCTAGACTGTTCTCAGTGGTACCAGATGACAGAACAAGGAGTAATGGTCTCAAGTTGCAGTGGGGGAGGTTTAGGTTGGATATTAGGAAAAACTTTTTCACTAGGAGGGTGGTGAAGCACTGGAATGGGTTACCTAGGGAGGTGGTGGAATCTCCTTCCTTAGAGGTTTTTAAGGTCAGGCTTGACAAAGCCCTGGCTGGGATGATTTAGTTGGGAATTGGTCCTGCTTTGAGCAGGGGGTTGGACTAGATGACCTCCTGAGGTCCTTTCCAACCCTGATATTCTATGATTCTATGAAGCCTTCATGTCTGTTTGTGTGTCTGAAAGCTAGAGGCCGTGTGTTAGTGTTTTGTTAAGTCAGGTGTGTTGATTTTGTTTTTTAAATGTAGTAGTCAACAATTCTTTAGCAATTACTTTATATTCATGATTGAAACTGCATGTCAAAACTGGGTGCAATTTTTAATTAACAATTCATCTTTTAAAAACCTGCTCACTGCCCTGCCCCTAGCTTTGTAAACCCAAATGCTTCCAAAGCCATCCAAAAGTGAAAGTTCTGCTCTTCAGCTAGCTTAGAGACAGGAGGTGCTCCGGTCCAATGAGCTAGAAACAGTTTGACCACTTCTCTCAATCTTTCTCCCTTCAACTCGGTCAGTGATGTTCAGTTACCTTCCCTGCCTTCATAATGCACAACTCCTTCCATTTGGCTGATGGGAGGTAGAGCCATATTCTCAGCTCAAGAGTTACACTATGACCTCGAGAGGATTGCAGGGTGTGAGAAATGGAAGGAGTAACATGTAGAAAAAATTCTTAGACTTCTTAGAAAGTGTTAAATAGATTCCCTTACCTTTCTGGTGTAGGGAGTGCTGGTGCCTCTTCTGGTTGGATACATGGGCAGTTTAATTTAGTCAGCCAGCTAAATTAGGAAAACTCCATCCCTCTGGGGTAAATGAGTCCAAAGCAAACACTGGCTCTGACTAGCCATTCTTCACCCTCTCTGGGCCTCAGTTGCTCCTCTAGGGTCCATATAATCTTCAACTAGTAGCCGTGTTCCCCAGCACTGAAGAATTGGTTGCATGGTCCAAACTAGGCATTATGTAGCTGACTCTGGTTTCAGGCACACTGCTCCCCCTCATTTGCAATCCCTAGCTTCTTCCCATGACCCCTCCCAGCTGCTTTCTTCAGTCATCCACCACTCTTGCAAACTCCCCCTCTGAGTCCTCTGTTTATGGAGAGGGCAGGACTTTCCATCTCCTTCCTTCAGTTGAGACTCAAAGGCTATTCCTGCCTTGCTCTAAGCATGGTCCTTTTCCAGGCTGTCTGAAGGAGAGCCACAAGTTCCTGCTCCCTCTCCAGCTTCCCCTCTCTCCCTGAGGAACAGGAAGTCCTAGTTCCCTGTCCTTTTATCAGCATGCATTGCTGTCCATTCTGAACTAGGACTGGGCCATGTTGACCAATAGGCTCCTTTATAGGGCTTGTGGGTCCCACCATGTTACAGTATTTGGTTTCATTCCCCACTTATCTGTGTTTTCATTGATGAAGTCTTATGTTGCTACTGTCAATTGCAGATTGAGGTAATTGGTTTGTATTAGTTGCTTTTAATTGCTCTTAAAGTTTTATTAAAGCATTTCCACACCCACAGTCCTGTTCTCTTGTTGCACCTAGGCTGTTTAAATGGAGGTGGTCAGATCAGAGCAGAAGGTGACTCCAGCAAGGATTTGCTTCAGCAAGTTGAGAAGTTGTATGAATCTGTTAAGACTGAAATTCCAGAGAGGAACCGCACTGTAAAAGAACTGTATGAACAGTGGCTGGGTGGTACAAACTCAGAAAAAGCTGGAACAACGTTGCACACGGCATACCATGCAGTGGAGAAAATGAACTCTGGCTTTAATATCAAATGGTGAAGATGTATAATGCACTTGTATTTCTACAGGGACTGTAAAGCTGTGAGACCAAGAGGTACACTTACTCAGTGCCCTTTTAAGTCATCTGTCATTTTAAAGTCCTCAAAAGCCAACATGTGCACTGAAATTCTAGGATACCGTGACTGGAAGAACACGATACATAAAAAATGTCCTGCAACTAAAAGATAATGTGTATATATCCTGGTACTGCTAATGAGTTCCTACAGCTTCTGAGGCTATTTAAATAAAAACAGATGCTGACTTGGGATGTGAAATATGTCTCATTAAAAGAAGCAGTGTATATTAGCCACCACACCACCTTTATGGCCCCAACCCTGCATTCCTTTTCACACACACCCAGTCACACTGGAGTCAATCAATGCATTTAAGGTACACAGAATCCAGGACTGACTCGTGTCAACTGTGACATTTGGATGTTCTTGATAAGTCAAAATTTTACCAGTCCTGTACCTGAACAACACATCTGCTATATTTTCACAGCATGAAGTTTTAGGGCTGTGACTCTTAGGACCTCATGTTCCAGTTAGAGTTGGGTTAACTGGCCCCTGGTATTCCATTTCCTGCTCCTGGAGTCTAGCTGTGACATCTTTTCCTGTATTTCAAGTAAGCTGAAGGTTTCATAGGCATGGATGGAAGCAGCTTACAAGGGAGTGAGTGTTCTGTTTAAAACTTTTATTACCTGCTGAACTCTGACCTGAATGAATGGGCAGAAAAACCTGTCACCAAATAATCTACAGCTGCCTATGTGAATTAGAGGGATTAACAGAACAGCAGAGTCTACCTAATATCTCAGTAGCAGAGTTCACTAGTGGATGCTACCTGACACTCAGATGAAGCAAGTGATCTTCATACAGTATGTTCCACAGAAGGGTTAAACAGGCACTTTTCTTTTCATTTCTGAATGACACACAGTACTCAGCATAATTATGCTTCAGTTCTGAATAGGGCCTCTGGCTGCTACTGTAATACAAATACTAAGACCAGAATATTAAGCCTGTGAGATCAGAGAAGAATCAAGGGCAGTAATTTACCAGAAGGAATATCATGGTAGTGAGTATAAAGTCCCTCCATAGTTAATACAAAGCACCAACACATCTTACGCAAAACTACTGCTCTACTTGTCTTGGAACACCTGGTCTCTGGTTTGTTTGGTTAGAAACATGTACCTTAAATGTGCTGCTCTTGCTTATGGGCATTCTGAGAACTCCTCATGTTAAACAGGGTAAAGACCTTTTTATTTCATTTTTGCTCACTGTGAATTTCTAATTTCCTACTAAATTTCTTTACTTAGTATGGTCTAAGAATTCTTCGACCCTCACTTAACAATGGATTAAGGGATATGGTCAGGTTTGAAAAGTTAAAATACTCCCAGATACTGTACCTGCCACGCTTTGTGGGTTTACAATCACATGTTCCCATATTTAAAAATGCTTCTTCCCCACCCTGCTGGGTGTGAGACCCACAGAGCAAAAGGAAGGTAACTGACTATAGAGAAAGTGCTGTGAAGTGTGCACAATGTAGAAATTCTCTTCCGGTGAATCATTTTACATATTACTTTCACCAATAATGTACATGATTTTAAGCTATTGTCCCTTTAAGTCCCACACAAAACACAGCAGACCTTCCTGTCACTTTTTGGTTAAACCCTGACCAACAAATTGGTTTCTTTTGATAGCTTTTAAGCCGCAAACTACACTCCAATCTAAGCCATGCCTTGACAAGCTGTTAGAAATCCTCCTTCAGGGAGGTTAGGCTCTGGGCCTACAAATGCTTTATGCATCCAAGTAGTCCCATTGAAGTCAATAGCAGTACTCAGGTGCTTAAATGTTAAGCATGCAGATTTGGAGGACAGGAGCTTTACATTTTTTCTTTTTAAAAGAACAAATGTTATATGCAATTCAAATTTTGTTCACTTACTGGGTTCGTTAAAGCATTTTATCTTTTGCATGCCTGGGTTCCTGCCTTTCAAATAAGATGACATAGGCCTAATGCAGAATAGGGAAAATTAGATAGCCGGAGAGAAAGATACCATTTCACTTATCGTCTAGCAAAGCAGAAGTTGACTGGCCTTTTGGTAGGACTGAATGTATAATATTTGAAAATCTCAAACTCCTCCACATTTCAGATCACTGAAGTATTCATGCTGACCTGTTTCTATTTGTTAGTTTTGGTTCTAAACAGAGCATCAGATCAAACTAGCAACAGATCTACCTCCATCTTGTCTTTTACAACTTTGCTTTTGACAATGATTGCCTTTTATACCTGTAAAAAAAAGTCTTGTTTTCTCTTGCTGCCTCACTTTTTAAAGTAATCCAGTGTTTACCAAAAATAAACCATCAGTAACATGCACGACTGTCAAAGTTAAAAAAAAAATCAAAGCTTTATTTAAAGTTGTCATTACACTCTACTAGCGAGTACACAGTGCTCATCTCGCAAGACTCTCACATTGCTTTTCTCTCCTGTTTTGTAAGTAGGGGACTAGTTTCAATGAATATTCTCATGCGTAGTTTTACAGATAGTATTCCATTAAAACGGTAGGTTTTAATTACAGCAAGACACATGAATTCTAGTGTTAAATGATGAAATTCTAAGTTTAGTACACAAGTGCTATAACTTAACTCTGTACTAAAGTGCAAAACACCCAAGTTCTATTTCTATTTGAAATGTGCAATCCTCATTAGGCATATACAAATAAAATGCTAATTAGCTAGTGCAGTGTAAAATTAACCCATTAGTAATCTGCATTTTGTTTTGCTACCCATTTACAAGAGCTATATTCTACACATCAGTAAAACAATCTTAGTTGTACATTCAGTGGTTGTTCGCATCAGTGTGACACGTTGGGCAGGTCTACACACAAGTTGTACTGTGCAAACCTAGTATGGAGACAATTATATCGGTTTATTCTTAAAAACCCCACACTCCTAGCTCACAGTACATAAAAGAAAAATCAGGTCAACTATAATCCAGTGCTAAGAACTATCAAGTTTAATCAAAGCCGTGTGAAAAGTTTTACAATAGACGTTTTAGTGGGCCCAATCTGCCTTCCTTTGTGTTCTCATTCACCTGTGTGAAGTAGGTGTAAAATCACTGCCATTTTAATGGAGTAGTGCGTACATCTACTGTTGCACTTTGGTGTGAACAGTAACTCAAGGTAGTGGAGAATGAGGCCTGCTATTTAATAGTAAAAGCTATGGAATCATGAAACGGAGCAACTTGCTCCCTAGAACTGCTCCATCTAATCCAGGCATCGGCATTTTCACAGCTGTTTACAGAGCTACTCTAGATTTTCTTTCAAAGGAGACCACACTTAATTCTAAATATTGTAATAAACCGCTCTGGTGCCTTGCAAACTTAAGTACTATACACAGTTTTCAGATTTTAAAAAAGCTGCAGTATTATTTTTAACAAACTAAAATTGGAAGGCTGACTTTTTAAAAAAAAAAAACTGATAATTTTTACTTCTAAAATAATAATAATAAAAAAAAAGGTGACGCAAACACAAGTTCTTCCAAATTTCTTCCCCTTTCCACTATTTTAAACAGGCATGTGGGAGGGGAAGACTCTTTGATGTTCTGTAGTGGGAGAAAAGCAGCAAAACAGATGCTGCTTACTGACCCAAGGCCCTGATGCTGCAGACATGGATGTGCTTAATTTCATGGATGTGAGTAATCCCCTAGTCAATTGCATAGAATTAAATGTGCATAAGTCTGCACAGGCTTTTAACTGTGGTTCCTTAATCTGCCTCTGCTGGTACAGGGAGTGCGTATAAGCCTATTTTCAAACTAGGAGACTAGGGGAGGTGATCCATCAGGCCTTATGCACAAGCAACTCCCAGTGAAGTCTTACTTTGAAGGACCACAAGCCTGGGCTCCAATTTAAAGCATTTTGGGGGGTTAATCTGTTCCCATGCTATGTCCCTAGTAATTGTTTTGCAAATCCTATAACATTTTTATTTGGAATTATTAAAAACCAGGGTTTTTTTAAAATGCTGCTTTTGACTTAAAGATATTCCTAAATATTAAGCAAAAAGACAATTCCCCTCCAACCCACTCATTCCAATTACTCTGCTGCTAGTTTCACCATGCTGTGATTAAGAGTGATACGTTTTTGCCTTATACACTATAATTCTATTACATGAAACCTTTCCAACGTGTCAAGGTGGCAGGGGGCCAGTGTCGGCTCCTCGAAAAGATGCACTGCTTTATATACTCTACTGAATATACATGCAGCTGCCAGATCACACTACAAGGGGCCCATTCACTGCCCGTTTTGATTTTCTGGAGACAATTGTCTTCAGTTGTTAAGGGGAGGTTGGCACAGAAATCAGCACTTTCAAGTTTCTCAGTTATAGTTTGAGAGAGTCACTGTTGACAAGGACCGCCAAGGCTTAGTGCAAAATAAGTGTTATTTCTAATGCTACACAGAATAGTTTCGTTCCATTCAGAGAGCAGCCCCTCCCCCAGTAATTACTAGAAGAATTAAAAATTTTAGATGTCCCCAAAATATCTTGTTTTGAGGAGCAACAAAACAGCCTTTTAAAAAGAGGAATAGCTCTGGGCCGAACTGTTCCACGTAGAACCCTTATGTTTCCCTTTTCAGCTTTCCCTGTTTTCCAGAAGCCCCCAGTTTACTTCCAGGTACAAAAACAAACCTGTTTCTTACATCGCCCCTTTCAGGAGGCAGGGCTCAGAGAATCAGCCCATTCTCAGAGGGGTGTAAGAGAGGAATTGCTTCGGGTGGTTAACACGTACAGCTAGAAGTGAGGGGATCAAAAGGAGTAAAGAAAAAAACGAGGCTGAATAACAAGCCCCACTTCCCAGGAGCGAGGCCCATGCAGTAGGGGAAGCTGCAGTAGCCGAGTCATTTAAAGCCAGACAGGACAGAGCCCTACACATTGGGCTGCGGGGAACGATCCTTGCCCAGCTGGGAGACAGACTGGCCTAACAGGCCTCCCCCACGACGACGATCAGGATACTGCAGTTTGGTAAAAGGCCTGGCCCTCGCTGGGGCCTTGGTTGCGTTTATATATTGGCACAAAATAAACGATCCGACAAACCTGGCTGCATTTCACTTCTTCCCCATGAAGGGGCCGAAGAGTCCCCACTCGAACGCCAGCATGGCCTGAGGGGTCAGCCTCTCTTTGGGCTTCTTGAAGTTGTCCTTCTCTGTGCGGAGAGCTCGCAGCACGGCCACCGGAGCCGTCTGGCCAGTGAATTTCTGCACGGCTTCTTCCCTGCAAGTGAAAGCGACACCCATTGTGTGCCCCGTGCGTAGCAGCAAACGGAAGCGAGAAGACTCAAGGCCAGGTTTGGTTTTCTGGGACATCGGTGGCCATCTGGAGTCTTGTTTTTAGAGACTCCCTTGGCTTTACACCAGAGTAACAACAGAATCTGGTTGTAGGCTGTCTCCTCCCACCACCCTCACTGGTGGGGAGCAGGGAGCCAATGGGGAGGGTATCTTCCTCCGGTATATCCCTGTAGAGGGCTGGCTAGGAATGAGTTATCCTGGATGGGGAGCTAGGGGGAGATGAGACCCCCCCCACCCCATCACCCACCCGATGCTTCTCGTACTGGCGGGAGGGCAAAATTGCCCTTCCCCTGTGAGTCACCAAGTGAAAGGTCTGTTGCTGGAAGGCAGGAAAACCAGCGGCATTCCTAGGCTGGGGAAAGGGCGCTCCCTTGCTTTGTGCGCTCGGCCCAGTGCGGGACAGGGCAATGCTACGGGGTGTCTCCGTTCCCGCGGCTGGTGCGGAGCCCGTTGTCCCCTCAAACTCAACTGGGCCTGCCAGCAAGGCCCCTAGTGCCCAGGGGGCTGCGGGAGGCACGGAACTCTACTCACGAGACCCGCAGGAAGGGGTTGTAGTGGAACTCCTCCTGCAGGGTGGAGGGCACCGTGGGCAAGTCCTCGTCGTCTCGGAGCTGGGGAGAAACCACAGACTCGGTCAGCGTCTGGAGACCGTCCCCAGCACTGAGCTCACGGAGAATACCAGAGGCAGATGCTTAGAGGCTCCTAGACATTATGGGGACAGGCACCTTAAACACACAGACCGATTAGAGGGGCAACAAATCTAGCGTTCACAGAACTCAACGTTCGTTCCAGCCTCTCCTTCTCACAGGGGCTCTCCGCTTCGGAAGGGGAAAACACCTACTTTTGCCCAAGCGAGTTTCTTTTTCACACTCTCGTTCTCCGGTTCCACTTTCAAAGCAAACTTGAGATTCCTCACGGTGTACTCGTGCCCACAGAACACTTTCTGCAATGCAAACGACACAATGCACCTTTACGGCCTGCACATCCCCCTGGGCGTGGTACCTCCCCACCCAGGATAGTGCCTCTTGAGCGGCGTCCCAGCGGCGGAGACCCCAGGTGAGCTCCGGGGGACTAGCGTTCCCTCCTGTAGAGGAGCCTGGATGTGGAACTCCCTCAGCCAGAGCCACGGGCTCTTCAGGGTGCAGCGCAGAGCTCCGCTGCTTGGCCAAGCAGCTGCTTGACCTTGGGCGGAGATTCTGGAGGGCTCTTCTCTCTAGTGGGCTGGGGTGTCCTACCAGGGGAGGATGCATTTAATGCATGTGGTTTGCCCACTGCAATTAATGTCGGGGGAAGTAGCTGCCTGGGGAGAGCTCTGGGCCTGATCCCCATAGTCACAGTGTCTAGGAAGGATTTGGGGGGAGCTCTCCGGCCCGTGTTACGCAGGAGATCAGACTAGATTATCACCGTGGTCCCTCTGACCGCGGAATCTATCACTCATGCTGAGGGGACAGTGGGAAGTAGACGCTGGTGGAGGGTTCTGGGCCCAGTCCCCACACTCATGGAGCAGCTCCTGCTGAGGGGGGGGTGGCCAGAAGTAGCTGCCTGAGCAGAGCAGACATCTCCCTCAGAGCTCATCCCAGTCTCTTGGGGGAGACCTACCGCCTTGGGTCAGGTCTCCACAGTCCCAGAACAGCTCACACTTGCAGGGGAGCCTGCGGAGGGGTATGTAACCCTGGCCCAACTGGCTGACAGTGAAAAGGCCAGGTCACCTTGGCCCGGAGAGCTTGTCCTTTAGGCCTACAAACCCCAGAAATTGGCCAGAGGTGCCCAAAGCACAGAAGCCACCCAGCTACGATCTCACAACATCAAATCCGCGCTGCGGCCATTCCGGTCACAGAGTGGCATTTGGCCAACGTGTCAAATTGCAAAAGGCTGGTGGCCAGCCAGAGAAAATCCGGGCAGCGCACGTTGCTCAGGCAGATTGAGAAGCCCGTTGGCGCCAACGCGCTGCGGGCATAAAGCTCTGGCCTGCCTGCTCCGAGACACAGAAAGGGAGATGAAGGGAAATCGGGGAGAGGGCCCATGCACCCCCTGAAATAGGCGCGACACTCACAGTGTCCTTCGGCAAAGCACCCAGGATTTCAGTCAGGTTCTTGTACATCTGCTCGGCCGTCCCTTCAAAGAACTTCCCACAGCCACCAATGAACAAGGTGTCACCTGCGCGGGGAAACACGTCACCTTATTTGGGGGAGGGCAGGGAGGTTCTGCCTGTAGGGCAGGTGGGTGGCATGTGGCCAGGGCCTGATGCCTGGGGGAAGCCCGCCCTGCTGTTGTATCTGTGCTGAGGGTGAACAGGACTTTACTCCCCGGAGCTGGCAGTCAGGCACTTTTTGATGGTCTAGCGGGCAGGGCACCTATTCCTACCTCTGCCACAGGCTTCCTCTGTGCTCTTGGGCAAGTCACTTAGGCATATAAATACCTCAGAGGATCTGGACCTCTGGGTTACAGTTCCCCATCTGCACAATGGGGATAACAGCTCTGCCCTGCCGCCGACCCTGCAGGGTTGGGGGCCAGATAAGGGCCTAGACAGATATGACTTTAAAGGAAAACAAATCCCGTCTTGCTCAGGCTTACTCTTAAAATGAGGTAGTCCCATGCAGATCGCGGCGGAATCTAAATGATTCTGGGTAGAATACTAGCTTAATGATAAGTCCCCCTGTAGCTCATTCAAAGAGATCCCAATCAGAGACTGTCTGAGACTTTTTAGCTCCTGCTGGCTTCTCAAGAAGGTGCTGAATACCTGAAAAGAGGGCTGGAGCATCTGGGGAGTTCTCTTCCCACATGAAATAACACATGTGGCCTGATGTATGGCACGGCGTGAACAGGCACCTCACGTTAATATCTCCGAACTGCAGAGAAAAAGGGGCAATCCAGGTTGGTAAAACAAGGGATTTCCATTGTTGGTATTATCACCGCACCTAAGGACCCTACTCAAGGACCGGAACCTCACTGGGCGCTGCATAAACACAGAGCAAAGAGATGGTCCCTGCCCCAGAGAGCTTCCAAACAAAGCAATATGGACTTCCCTTCTTCACGACATGATGCTACAGCAAATCAGCTTACTTCCATCCCAGCCGGGATCTGCTAGCCGATATTTTTCAGAATCATAGAAGTTTAGGGTTGGAAGAGACCTCAGGAGGTCATCTAGTTCAACCCCCTGCTCAAAGCAGGACCAACCCCAACTAAATCATCCCAGCCAGGGCTTTGTCAAGCAGGGCCTTAAAAACCTCTAAGGATGGAGATTCCTCCACCTCCCTAGGTAACCCATTCCAGTGCTTCACCACCCTCCTAGTGAAATAGTGTTTCCTAATATCCAACCTAGACCTCTCCCACTGCAACTTGAGACCATTACTCCTTGTTCTGTCATCTGCTACCACTGAGAACAGTCTAGATCCATCCTCTTTGGAACCCCCTTTCAGGTAGTTGAAGGCTGCTTTCAAATCCCCCCTCACTCTTCTCTTCTGCAGACTAAATAACCCCAGTTCCCTCAGCCTCTCCTCATAAGTCATGTGCCCCAGCCCCCTGATCATTTTCACTGCCCTCCGCTGGACTCTCTCCAATTTGTCCACATCCTTTCTGTAGTGGGGGGACCAAAACTGGGCACAATACTCCAGGTGTGGCCTCACCAGTGCCTAATAGAGGGGAATAATCACCTCCCTCAGTCAGCTGGCAATGCTCCTACTAATACAGCCCAATATGCCGTTAGCCTTCTTGGCAACAAGGGCACACTGCTGACTCATCTCCAACTTCTCGTCCACTGTAATCCCCAGGTCCTTTTCTGCAGAACTGCCCCAGCCAGTCAGTCCTCAGCCTGTAGCGGTGCCTGGGATTCTTCCGTCCTAAGTGCAGGAGTCTGCACTTGTCCTTGTTGAACCTCATCAGATTTCTTTTGGCCCAATCCTCCAGTTTGTCTAGGTCCCTCTGGACCCTATTGCTACCCCTCCAGCGTATCTACCTCTCCTCCCAGCTTAGTGTCATCTGCGAACTTGCTGAGGGTGCAATTAATCCCTGTCACTCACCCTTACCGCCGATAAAAGTGGGGGGCCATGACCCCTGCCTCCCCATGTTCTGGCACCCCCGCCCCTCCCTCACCTCAATAACTAGATGACTCAAGATGGAAATGGGGCAACCAAAAGATAAATTCCCAAAGACAGACATGTAAGAATATTTTCCACGTTCCCCAGCTGCTAATGCCAAAGACGATGCAGGACAATAAGTGACAATTATGCTTAGTGTTTATAAGGCATTTTTCCTCTTCCTGGCATTTCACCAACAGGACAAATATTAGCAAATTAAGATTTACAAGAGGCAGAAATTATCCCTGTGTTACACGTGGGGAAATTTAGATTAGGAATTGGTAGTTTCTGACTCGCAGGCCTGTGCTCACATCCACCCCAGAGTATATAAAGCCAGCTAGGAAGTTTGTCCAGAGGATCTATTTGAACAAAGACGGGCTGCAAAATTTCTGGCACTTTGTTGACTGGCAATGTTCAGATCTAGGAGTTTGGTACAATCCGTTCTAAAGAAAAGAGTCATTTGTAAAATTCAGATCCGCATTTGGAGTTCAAACAGTCCAGAGCAAAGCTTTCCAGCAGAGGCGATCACGTGTGGATTTATTACCTTGGGGAAATGCTACCATCTACTGGCTAGTTGTTCAAAATGAGAATCTGCTGCAGAGAAACCTGGCAGCAATATGCCAGGGAAGGTTTTTGATGCTGGATCCTAGCGCCGCCCCCCTTGCAACAATCCCATAGATTCCCATGCACACTAGAGCAGAGACAGACCTAAATGAATTAGTAGTTGGTCTCCGGGAGCAACTGACAGGCAGCAGCTGTAATTTTTAGCTTCCTCACTGTTCCCCCAGCCACAGCAGTGGGTTACACAGCAGGAAAAAACAAAGACATTAAGTGTGTGTGTAGTGGGAGCATGGACCGAATCTTTCCCTTGGTTACACCCCTACAATCTCATGCACATTCAACCCAGGGCAAGCAAAAGACTCTCTCTCTCTCTCTGGTCCCCGTTCTCACATTGACTCACTGCAGGTCTTTAGGCACATCACTTCCCAGCTCTGTCCTTCACCATCGCCCTCAGTAAAACAGGGATCCCGACACCGACCGCCCAGCCAAGGCGCAGGAGGTGTCATTCAATCACGCGTGTAAAGAGCTTTGAGATCCGGGGGGGCATTAAGTGAGACAAGAGCAACAACAACATTAATAATAAACCTCCAGTCTTGTACCTTTAACTCCTCGTTATGAGTCACCTTGTGTGTCAAGGCTCCAATCCGCTCATCCGCCCCATACACCTGCAGCTCTGGATACACCTTCGCCAGTTCTTCGTTTCCTCGGGCGTGGTCCCTTCACAGACAGGGAGTGAGATTAGCATCTCCGCAATCACTCAGCATTTACTGATACCCCAGAGGAAAGGGGAGGGCTAAAACGAGTCTCGGGCTCCTGCATCAATGTAACCCTAGTACTGCGGGGACAGCCCTGGTGTATGTTGCGACACGAAAAATACCGTGACTCAAGATTTCGGAGCATGAAAAAGGGCCACCTGACATTCTGAAAAAGGACACAACTTCTCCATATGTGAGCCCAGCAGCCCAATAGAACTGTTCTGCATTCGGGGCCGGATCCTGGGGAGTGCTGAGAGCGCTCTGCTTCCACCTCGCAGGATCGGGACCCTTGATATTGCACAGATCACAGTGTGTGGCTGTCACGTCTTACGAGCAGGGATTTCTGCATAAATCGTCCCCCGAGCCTCATGCACTCTGATGAGAATACTAAGAACATAAGAATGGCCACACTGGCTCAGACCAAAGGTCCATCGATCTAGCCCAGTGTCTTGTCTCCCGACATTGGCCAATGCCAGGTGCTTCAGAGGGAATGAACAGAACAGGGCAATTATCAAATGATCCATCCCATCGTCCAGTCCTAGCTTTTGGCAGTTAAGAGGTTTAGGGCACCTGGAGCATGGGGTTGCGTCCCCAGCCATCTTGGCTAATAGCCATTGACAGACCTATCCTTCACAATACCCCGGCAACAAGTTCCACAGGTTGACTGTGTGTTGGGTGAAGAAGTACTTCACTGTGTGTGTTTTAAACCTGCTGCCTGTTAATTTCATCGGGTGACCCCTGGTTCTTGTGTTACGCGAAGGGGTAAATAACACTTCCTTAGTCACTTTCTCCCATCATTCGTGATTTTATAGACCTCGATCATATCCCCCCCTTAGTCATCTCTTTTGTAAGCTGAACAGCAGCAGGCTTTTTAATCTCTCCTCATATGGAAGCTGTTCCATATCCGTAATCATATTTCTTGCCCTTCTCTGTACCTTTTCCATTTCTAACATACAGTACTGTACCCCTTTACTCTCCACAGCACTTACCAATGGTGATGGGTGGTAAGAATCGCTTTAAGGGTAACGCCTTCTTTTCTGACAATTTCTAGTAACTAAAATGGGGAGGAGAAAGTCACGTCAAAGAGCATAGTTTTAAAAAAAGATTCCAGCTACTAACCTGTGTCAGGAAGTTAATCATTAAAGACCCTAAAGACAATCTTGAAAGCCTCGTTGCTCTCTGAAACATGACTCTGCAAAGCTAGCCTCACGCAGGGTCTCCCAGTGACTTCAGATTATGCGTGAACAGATCCCATTTCAAGAGGCAGCCCTGCAAACTCACCCTGCGATCGGAATAATACCCGGCGACGGAAAGGCAGCGTAAAAAACATCTGACACACAAAAAGCCACACGTACAAGAAACAAGGTGCTGCCTCTTGGGATGGATTTTCATGCAACATAGTATTAAATGTTGTCAAATGCTCTTTCATTTATAAATGAGAACCCAGCGTCAGTGAGGGAGTTAAGTGATGGATATTTTTGTTATAAGAAAGAGGTAACCAGAACAATAGGTCTCTGCCTGGCATTTTGAACGTGAGCAAAGAATACTATACCCAGCTCCTGACTGCCCCTCTCCTGGGAATAAAAAGAAGCCCTTGGTACATCATGTATCTTCCCATAAACTCTTTCAAGATGTCTTATAGCAAATGTCACAAACTCAGCCCATTTCTGGTAGGATCTTTAAGCACGATGCCTTCGGGAGTTCCCTAGAACACGGGGGAATCCACTCGGTGATCCCGGACAGATCAGATCGGGGTAACTCACACTACGCCACTGGAAATCCAACTGCAAATACGCCCCTAATTCGAATTCCCCCTCCCAAATATTCCCAGCATTGATACTGACAGGGATTCCTACCAATCGGGAGATTGTGATATTGGCTTCCACTTGTGCAATAGCGCTTTATGGCCCAATTTGCATAAGGGTGTGCACAAAACTGTATGCATGACATTTGCACGTGCAATCACCATGACTGCTCGTGCAATCACAGCACTTCCAGACACAAATTACGTGCCTGCCTTTTCACATCTGCAAACATGAAAGGCTGGCCTTTGGTTATTTGCATCATTTCGGTCTGATTAAGAGTCAAACTGTGATCAAAAAGGATGCAGGGCACAAGAAAGGTGCAAAGGGCAACCCAACTGCAGGAGAGAAAAGACTGCCCAGAGGCAGCGATGCTATCAGCATGACCACCCCAAAGGTGACGAGGAGGTGAGGCATAGCCCCACTGTCTCCCACCCCAGCCAGCACAGCCGGCCAGCCCTGGAGAGGAATGCACCCTGCACCCCTTTCAGGGAGATAGCAGCAGCCATACTCCCTGGAGGCATCATGCTTCCAGAGCCTATCAGAAATGGAGACAGATCCTCCCCCCTGCCCAGTGACTGTATTTGATGGCCAGGTTGGCAGTGGATGAAGTCAGTCAGATGCAAGCTGTGTTGCTATAAACGGATGCTTTTTTCCATGCTGCTAAGTCCAGTAGCTCCAACCTGCTGCACCATGATTAGCTGCCAGTCTCAAGGCCAGCTAAAGCAGGGAGAGTTGAGCGCAAGACTAACCCCTAGCAAAAAAAACCCCCAGAACTCTTCACTGGTTATAGAAACAGAACCAGGCTGCCATTCCGGTGAAAAGGAACACTAGCAACCCCTCACGCTGCATGAAGCCTCCTGGAAGCTTGATGTTATTAGCAAGAAAACACTTCAGAGTTGGCAAGTGGAATGCAATCGCACGGATCATGGGGGAGATGGACAACGATAGACTCGAAATCCTGGGCATCAGCCTGGGTGGAGGTCTGTACTACTGGGGTTCTGCATTGGCGCAAGGATCAGCCCACCTGGAGCTCAGTGCAGAATGGAGGCTTCTGTTATCAGAGGGTGCATCTGCACGGCTATAAAAGACCTGTGGCACAGTCGCCCTACTCAGCTGACTTGGGCTAGCAGGGTTCTGGCTGCGGGGCTAAAAATTGCAATGTAGATGTCCAGACTTGGGCTGGAGCCCAGGCTCAGAGACCCTATGAAGGGGGAGGGTCCCAGAGCCCGGGCTCCAGCCTGAGCCCAAACGTCTACTCTGCAATTTTTAGTCCCACAGCCCGAGCCAATTGACCCAGGCTCTGACACTTGGTGCCCCAGGTTTTTTATTACCGTGTTGATAAGAATGGATCCCCAACATTTCCATCCCGTCATTAATGCTGCTTGTTTGCTTTTATGCCTCAAAAGCTCACAAATCAGGCCTTAAAAATCATGAGATGATTTTTAAAAACGGATCCTTTTTAAAGCCAATTAAATAATTTTAATAAAATAATTTATTAAAAACAATTAATAATTTAAAAACTAATTTGGGATTTTTCTCTTTGCCTCCTGGTTTGTGAGACTCTAGGGTCAGATTTTCAAGCTCTTCCCCAAACCACGAAGAGGACTAGAAGCTTTCATTTAAAAAACAATGAAGCTGAAATGCTCACATAATGATACGACTCCAGCAGCATCACTCCAAAAACCTAGTCTTGCCAGGCCCATAATAAAAATCACAAGAGTTGGCAACACTGCATTTTGGATAATGAAACAGGCCAGTTTCACATTTGTTTCTAGTCAGTTTCATTTTCTGTCCTCTCCACTAGCACAAGACTGTTCTTGTGTTTGGGTGTCCAGCACTGCAAGGCAAAGTGTGAATCAAGAAAAACAAAACAAAAACATTTTCACTTCAATTTAAAAAAAAAAAAATCATTTAAGGCACTTCTGTTTGTTTAAGGTTGTGTAACCCCTTTTTTGAGCTTTTCCCCTAAAACAATATAAATTTTGGGCCTAAGCCATAGTCAAGTGTCATTTTACAACACACAGTTGCAGTCCCAGGGTCCATCCTGCAGACCCACACTGAGTAACTTTTAATCCTACAAACAAACAGAGAAGCATTTACAAGATTGGGCCTCGTTTGTACAGCACCTGGCACAACGGGACCCAATGGGACTGGGAACTTTAGGCACTAGCGCGATATACACGTTTAAGAAATACAATTGCTTCTTGTTTTTCCTGATCATAACTTTCCACTGAGCTCAGCCCTGCTGCAGATATCCAACCTGGACTAACTAACTCCTATAGCTCTTATTTTATGTGTCACTATGTGCTCCTAGTGGAAGCCAAATTAACACAACACTAACCATTCCCAGAGCTCTAGATTCCTTCCTTTAGTGTCTACAAACAAGCCAGCCTGCTCTGAACAGATGTCCTTTAACTTCAAGGCTTTAAGTAACAAAATTCCGAGTTACCCTCTTGGGAACAGCTGCGTCCACTACAACTGCTTCCTTGGTGTTTTCTTCAATGACCAAGTACATGTAGTTATCTTCCAAGACTGAAATCACTTTGACCTTCATAGTCCCAGGGTGGTGAAGCTACACAGATGAGCTGTAAGGGAAATTACATTATTTTAGAACCATCCCATACAATTAAAAAAATAAAATCGACCCAGCAGCATCAGAAACATTTAGAACAAGGTCCCGGGCAGAGAGCAGCACCATCACAGCTCCAAGTCCCAGCCCTCCGGCGTCTATTTGCACAGACTCCACCTGTGGCAAACAAGCCCAGGACCGTGACTTACTGGGACAGGTGCAACTCCACTATGAAAAACAGCCTTTCGCCTCTTGGCCTGCTCCACTCTCCTTGCCTAGTCAGAAGTAAATCCACAACACTGTGGCAACACATGCCCAGCCTCAATGCACTAGCTAACAGTTCCCATTGAGCTCATCTCATGTTTAATTCACTGGTTTAGCTCGAATTTGGGCTTTCTGGGGATTGTGAACATCCAAACTGCTGCACACAAATGCCTCAGGACTCAGAAAACTGTTCAGCATGGAAGGATCAGTCTAGTTTGGTTGAAGGCAGGGGGAGTCAGAGGCCGACCACGGGCCAAAGCCGGACTGCCAGACGCTTTTGAACGGACCCTGAAATCTTTTTATTTACTTACTATCATTACGGGGGGGGGGGGGGGTTAATTATTTTCCCTGGGGTCTGGACCTTGACCAAGAAATTTGGACTTTGACAAAAACTCATTCGCTACACCTGGTTTAAGGTCTCAGTTTAGAGCTGAGAGTTGCAGCCACTCCTAATACACCTGTTCCCAGAAGGGGCCCCGGGCTAGCTGGAAATGAGTTCCCAGAATACAGGGTGGGAGAATTAATTAGACACAGGGCAGCCCCCAGCCCATGCGCAAAGCATCCCCCCCCCCGTGTGAACCCCCCCCACCCCACACCCCCCCAAACCCAGGTGCAAATCGCCCCCCACCAATGTGAAAATCCCCGGGGCCCCCACATGCCGACCACCTCCTCCACCCATGTGCAAATTAATCAGCTGTCTGCTAGTGTCGCCCCCCCTGCCCACGTGCACCCCCTTTCACACGCGTGTGCAACAACCACCCGGCCCCCCCCCGTGCAAACCCAGCCCGGCTGCGAGTGCTCGCTGCAGCCCCGGCCCCAGAGCCCGCAGCGCCCAGGGGTTCGGTACCTGCTCGGGGCGGGGAGCTCCCTTCTCCGGGGTCCGGGGCAGGCTGCGGGGCCCGGGAGGCGGCTCGGAGCGTAGCCCTGTCACTGTGCGCCAGGGCCCGCCCCCAGGGCCCGGAGCCAGCGAGCCGCACCGGCCGCCTCCATCCACGGCCCCCCCCGGCCCGGGGATCAGGGCCCCGGAGCCCCGCGGTTCTGCCCATCACCTGCACTCTGCCGCCCGTTCCCCTTCGCTGCCCGGGCACGATGTGCATGACACCAGCAACAGCTGCCTGCTTCTGGGGCTGCAGGCGCTGCAAGGCCAGCTACTGCTGGGGGTGGGGGGGGCAGCAATTCCCCCCCCCCCGCTTGACCCTCCTCTTCCTCTCTCAACGCCAGCAGCCCAAACCCCTGGCCCAGGAGGACCCCCCCACCCATTCCCCTCCTTACCTTCCCCCTTCCTGGTGGCAAGTCTTGCCCTCAGGGGACAGGTGTGTCCTGCCAGCCCTTAGCAGCCCCTAGTTTCAGTCACCAGCAGGTGAGGGCCCAGCCTGCGACACGCTGCCCATGCAGAACGGGCACAGGATGCTGGTTGTGGCACGCTCCCAACCCTGACGTGCCTGGCTGCAAGTGCTGCCGCATGTGCAGTAAATTACATCTCTTGACCAGCAGCCAGCTAGAGAGTAGAGAAATGGGCCAGGCTGCCAAATCCTGGCCCGTTGGCAAGCCTGTGTCCGCGTACCTGCTTAAAAGCCATGGCCTGGGGGGCCCACATGGCTTTGCAGCCTATGCTGTCATGGTAGGGTCAAGGGGAAACGCCATTTGACCTCAGACTGGTGGCTGATTCTTCCAGGCCTCACGTCAGGACAGCTGTGTCACCTCGCCTCGTCATTCCCTCCCATCAGTACCCATCCGTAAAAGGCATAAATGTTAAATCCTCCACCATGTACCTGATCCCCTTAGCCCAATCCCTTCCAGCTACGCTGGGATGGCCTGGCAGTGGGCAGCAAAACAATTTTGGGGGGAGGAGAGGGAAGGTCTTAAAATACTTTCAGTCCTGTGTGTGCCATGGAGAGGAAAAGAAACCTCAGCCTTCTCCCCTCAGCCTCAGCTTCTCCCACCCACCAACCACTTATCAACATAACCAGCTTGAAGCAGCCACCGTGCCGCTGGCACCTTGCCGAAGCACATGCAAAGGTTTTATATTTCTTTGCACCTAGAAAGAGCTTTCAACCCCAGGGTCGCAACATGTTATACAGCCCCGTTTTACAGTTGGGGAAACTGAGGCAAAATCTGAGTGCATTGACTGTCTTTTTACTTCACATTTGTACAGCACCTAGCGCAACAGGGTCCTAATCCCTGCTTGGAGCCCTCAAGCATTACAGTACTACAAATAAATAATAATTAATGGCTTATCCATGTCAAACAAAAAGGCTGGGGCAGGGCCAGGCCTAGAACTCAGATCTCCTGACGCCAGTGTGGGATTAAGGTATAAAATAACTAAGCTACAGTTAAGGGCCTTGCAATATGAGGGGCCTCTAAAAAAGAAAAAACTGACTCCATTTCAAATTTTATCAAAATCAGTTGATAAGGAGATATGGGGAAAAGAAGATTCACTCTAAATACAGACATTTTTGTTCAAATATGACAAAAATATACACATCATTATTGACAGTCGAGAGGCCAGGTCTGAGGGGAAAAAACCAATAAAAGCACTTGTAAAATTAGTATTTCTATGAGTAAGTCTGCTATCAGTCTCCTGAGGCAGCATTTTGTTGGCCAGTTGCTACTGGTAAAATTCTGACTGTGCCTTCATAATTTATGAAAATAAATAAATAATCTCACCGCTGATAAAATCGGGAAAAATGTGAGGTTGGAGATGGCGGTGTCGTGAAGCCATCCTGCCAAGCTCATACTCATGTTAGTGTGTTCTTTCTTCTTTTGATCTGTACATCCATACAACTGTGTATTTTAGTGTGCATGCTTCATGCGCTATACGTGCGTCACATGATTGAGTTTGCAGGTGATCGTCTTATGGACTTGGGTCGAGTGGATCTTGAGGAGGATACATTTGTGTTGGCTTCCCTCCGTCAGTTTTGGGAACCTTCACAGTAAATATCAGTGAATGCTGCCCAGAGGATTTTGAGAGAAACGAAGGAAGATATACATATATATCAAAATATTCTGAGTACTTGGTGAGCAAGTTATTTCAAACTATCTGCATATATGATTTATAGGCTATTAAAGCCTATAATATTCATAATATTTGCCTGAATATAGGCTAGTTTTTCTCACTTTCTCAATGCCCGTCTGGAGATTACCAGTCTTTTTTCTGGTAAATTCTTTCTTTCTCTTTTGCACATATAGCTTGTTGTCCCTCTGTATGTCCAAGATTGATTGGTGGTCCTTGGGGAGACAGAGGATAGAGAAGTGAATGCGAAGAAAGATGTCTACCTAGAAAAAAGACTGGGATTTTCTGCTTGGCGGGTTTGGAGCATGCAAGAGAATATTTTATTATAGGTAGTATGCTATGTAAAAATTCTTATATAGACTTATAAATCACACATCATATGCGTAATACATTGTATGGCAAAAGAAAAATCCCAACAATTCATTGGTTTGTAGCAAAAATTAAATCAGAATAAACGTTTGTAAATATATTTTATATATAGTCTGGATGAATGTATTTCCCTAAAAAACATTAATCAAATATTTTTTCATTTATTCATATGAAAAGAAGGATAATTTTCCTTATTCATGGTGTAAACAAAATTATATATCCTCTTGTTTTCCTGTGAGAACACAGACAAAATAGCACTAACTTTCACAGAAATATCCTGGTTTCAGAGGGGTAGCTGTGTTAGTCTGTATCAGTAAAAACAACGAGGAGTCCTTGTGGCACCTTAGAGACTAACAAATATCCTGGTAAAATAACACAGGCTTTTGGCATATAATTTGTTGTGGTACAGATATATACAGCTCAATATTTACAATATAAAATTCATTTTTTTACTGGTTTCGATAAAAACTTTCTGCTACTAATTTTTGTACCAATATTAGGTAATTCAGCATAACCGTTCATAAAAACAAAACAAATCAATTTGTTGGAAAAATACAACCCGCATACAATTTTCTGATGGTTTGCTTATTACCTGGGTGTAATTCATATCAATATAACTAATAGTTGAGCTTTTAAGCTTGTGGGTTATCCGCATCCTATATCTCCTAAGAGTCTCATTGCGTATTCAGACCAGGAATGCCACAATTTAGATGCCCCAACATAGAAGAAAATTTTTCTGAGAACTCTTCTAGTAAATTGTATTATTTACTGTACTGTTTTTGTATTGTATTGTTTACTTAGGTATGCAATTAGTTCAAAAAATTTGTCTAAAATTTATTTCTGTCATGATGTCAACGTTAGAGGGCTGCTGAAAATGAAGATTATTCTATTTTTACAACTTTGCCTTTGTATATATGCAAATATAAAGCTTTTGTGTTTATATATTCAATGTCCTTTCTGTGAAAATAATAAATTCTTTTTTTTATGGTATGGGGCCTCTTATACTTGACGTAGTTTAGGGCCTCAGAATGTTCTAATCTGGCCCTGCCTGAGGTCCAGTAAAGCAGCTGTCTTGTAACAATCATTGTACTTTAAAGTGGTTGTTTCTTTTAATTAGATTTTAAAAAATTGCTTCCTTTGCTACTATAATTAAACTGAGGGCTGATAATGAATTTTAAGTTCATACATCTGTGTCTTCCTGTTTATTATAGCAGGTACAGAATTCGTCTTGGACTTTTTGATGTCCTGATTGTGTATTAACCTCACTGCTGGGAAATAGCAAATAGAGGATAAGCCATATTGTGTGAGTGAGGGGGTAGATGCCAGCACTCCCAAATTCTAATCTCACTTATGCCAATGATTTACTGTGTGATAGTAGACAAGTCACCAACTGGTCTGGACCCAGTGCAGCTCTCATAAGCAGGTGGAATCTCCTTTGGGTGCAGTGGAGATTGGACGCTTCCCCCCAGGGCTGAATTTAAGCCTCTATGCCTCCATTCCCCTCTTCCCCCCCCCCCCCCCCTCCCCCCCCCCCCCCATGACGCTGCAGATAACAGCAAACTGCTCCCTGCAGAGGTGTTATGTAGTTTAATTTGTAAGTGGAGAGCCGGGGCAGACCCGTGGAAAGAACATTTGACTAAGTGCATCTGCTCTATTGCCAACCCCAAGTATTCAAAAATCATGAGGCAGTCCTCCCAAAACCATGAACTATAGTTTGACTGTGGTCTGTCTTCTGCTTATTGAATCCCCCTCACAGCTGTTTAGTGTTGCTAAGTCTAGGTCTACACTACAGCGGGGTTCCGACCTAAGATACGCAACTTCAGCTACGTGAATACCGTAGCTGAAGTTGCGTATTTTAGGTCGGCTTACCTGGCGGTGAGGACGGGGGAAAGCCGACCGCTGCCGCGCTGCCGCCGACTCCGCTGCCGCCTCTTGTCGAGGTGGATTTCCGGAGTCGACGGCAGAGCGATCAGGGATCGATTTTACCGCGTCCTCACGAGACGCGGTAAGTCGATCCCCAATAAACCGATTGCTACCCGCCGGATCGGCGGGTAGTGAAGACGTAGCCTTACTTTCCCAACTATATTGAATAAGGTGGTTTGGGTCTTGCTTGCTAGCTGATGGTGCAGAACTTCCAGCTTCTCTCCATCCCCCCACATTGTAATTAATCGTGTGCTCTCTCCTTCCTCCATGTTAAAGAGAGACAGACTCTTCCTCTAACAGAAATGCCAATACCGAAGGCTCAAAGGGCACAGTGGGTTTCAGGGCGGTCTTTTGATTTCCATTTTAAAGGAACAACCCTTAGTAATAAGTGAAATATTTAAATTTTCATTTTTTCCCTTTAGATTACTGCCCCCAGTGATGCTCTGTTTACTCTTCTCTCCACTTTGCAGTAATAATTCTCAAACTGTTTTTCTTTTTTAATTGAAAATGTACAGGTTTTAGAGACAGTTGGGAAATCTTTGTTTCAGAAACTGCAGTATTTAGACATTTATATCACTTTTTAGAGTGTGTAAAAAAAGTCACCCACCCCTCAATTTAAGTCATGTCTCTTTAAAATACTTTCATCATGTGACTGCGCTGGATGGCAAGCAAAAAATTAACTCGAATTCAAGAGGAGACAAAGTCCACCAGGCCCACATTACTTATCAGGCCATAACCAGAAGAGGAGGAACTAGATTCAGCAGAGGCTTGAAATGACTCAGCATTACTGTTTCAGCTGTGAAGCATTTATTGAAGACCATACATTTAGTTGGTAACTGTGCAATCAGAAGAGACACAGGAGGAGAATGTAATTAGGAGCCCAGTTCATTAAGATATGGGTGTCAGAATTTTTCAAGTGTGTATTCTACCACTTTGTGCTCATATCACGTTCTCGCTGGCAAGATGAAAACACCGCACGGTCAACTCCTACACAAACTGTCCCTGCAAGCTTCCCTCCCCTCAGGCCCTGCTTCTAAGGTACATGCATCTGTGGGCATCAAACGTGAGGACACAGAACTTGCACCATCACAGTGACAGGTGTTAGAAGGGAAAGTATTAATAGCAACATGCATCTTTGCTGCATTTGAGCAGTAACCACTGCAGAGCTTAAAATAGATACTACAGTAGCCACACATTGGATAGTATTCACCCTCCCAGTTATCACATAACAAAATGCGGGCACTGTTACATGGCTTAGGGCTCTTAAAAATAAAAATAAAAAATGGGGAAGAGTGAATTATCCCTGGATGAAAGCTAGAGTCTCTGAGCACTTTACAAACCTAGATACACATTAGCCCTAGCCCCCTGGAAGGCAGGAAGTCCATGCATTGTTTAACCATGCAGAAATTGAGGGACAGAGAAGGTCAGGGGCCTGTCCAAGGCCAGAAACAGACTCCAGAAAGGGGAGCCAGGACTACTCTGCCCTAACCACTTAGGGTGGGAGGGAAGTTACTTTTGAAAACGATCCTCCTTAAAGCGCAGTTCTCCGAAGACTCCAGTGACACCAGCTCTGGCTCAGAGATGCAGATGTGGAAGTTGCTCCGAGGAGGACAGAATGAGCAGCTTGTGTTAATAGGCTGCTTTTGGCCATGTATTTAGAAGAAGCCGAAACGAACACGGATTCATGGCACAGATGGCAAGGGGGCACTGACACCATGGCTAGCCCCCCCCTCCCGCCAGCTCACTTGAAGCCTATCTTCCAACACGGACACTGAAAACTCTGGGTAGCAGTTCTTTGACATGGCAAAATTCTGCATATTCTCTCCCCACCCCAGCAGTTACTGGGAACCATCCTTTGCTCTGAAAGAGACCAAGAGGTCCTTTTTGTCCAGAGAATCAAACCATGAGCAGCATGAAAACAAACCGAGAGAAGGGGTGGGGAAAAAAAATCAGGCTTAATTCACCCCCTCTGTGCCATGCAAGGTCTCTACCAGGGAGGCAGGGTTTCCATGCTGTCGAGCTGCTTTCATAAAATTGTGCTCGGGTTCACCAGGATGAACAGCGTGTTGAAATGAGCACAGCGGTCTGGGGAGGAAGTTCCCATCATGTCTGTTTCAGGCTGGCTGCCCACTCCCGATCATCGCGATGTGCCTGCCGTTCACACCAGGGAGGGCTCTGAGCCACAAGGGCAAGGAAAGGAAAGTTTAAGGAACAAACGTTGTGTTGGAAGACACCCTGGATCTGCCTAGAAACCAGGCTTCAGTGCAGCTGAGCGAAAAGGGCAAGCTTTGATTTCTTTACATTTAGAGAGTCCTGTTAAACGAAGCTTCTGCTGGAAGACTAGGAGGCTGCAGGAGCTAAGGGGTTAAACCAGGGAACTCTAGTTTCTACTCCTATTGAAGGAGGCCCTGAAGGGTAGCCGCTGTTCCAAAACAGCTGGTACCGTGATGATCTTGGGCACCACAGTAACCAGAACTCTCAAATCTTTTGGCCGGAAGGGTCAGCTGGGCTAATCCTGTTAGGTGAAAGTAGCATGTACAGCATAAAGAAGCTATCCTGATGGCACAATGGTCGGAAAGGTTATAGCTATGGTCTAACGGAATAGCTACTCAAACTTGTAGGACATGCATTTACTCACTAGACCAAGTTAGTTCTCTTTAGGATCATACTGGTCTATCGGCCGAGTCCCTACCTCAGACCTGGTGTTGTTACAGGCACTATGCACAGTATACTTTGGAGGGGAGTCAGTGGGTACATGCAAGCTGCTTTTTAAGCCGTTAATACTCAGCTGTTCATACTTGAAGGGGCAGTCTGAAAAACATGCTGTCTAGAAATTATTCATCTCTAAGATGCAGAAGGAAAGGGGTGGAAGGGGGGGGAGGGGAGGGGGAAAACTAGTCTCTAATGCAAGCTTGGACAGTCTTATTTCTACAGCCAGCTGTATCCAGATACCAAGCAAGTTGGGCAGCATATTTAATGAATTAGACCCTTAATTGTGGGTGGCAAAGTGAGCACTGCACTATGACGAATGAATGTAGCAGATCTTAAAGTGACAGAATCAGAAAGGTTAATTTCGTAAGTTGCAAAAGGATTCTTCTTTAGACAGGCATTTGGTTACGTGCATTCCAGAGTTTTGCTTTAATGGTAGAAGTCTCCTGGCCCAATCCTGCAGTCAGATCTCCTATAAAGCTAACTGAGTCTTCCCCTGGTAAGGACTGAGCCCTCAAATGTGCCTTCCCCTCCCACCACCACACACTGAACATTTGTAAGGATTCATGCAAAGCCTCACTGCATCTGACAGTTTGAAAGCCAGGAATAAATATTCTTTAACATCTTATAAATATGCCATAGAACATCTCAACAAGAGCAAAGTGCTTTTTTCCCCGCCCCCCCCTTAAGACAGTTAAAAAAAACCTAACTGTGAATGTGTCTCCACCACAACAGAACAATGAAACTTCTAGTTCCTAAAACATGGTAAAACTGACAGGTAAGTGGTTCAGGCAAAGTACTCAGTCTTTTGGTACCCTGAAGTTATCCTTCTCTTTTCTGATGGCTCCCATTGTTCGAATGGGATCAGTTTCCCCAGCATGCTGCTGGACTGTCTTCTCTCTAGCAGAAGTAAAATAGACACGCCAATTTTATTTCACTGCTATAAGACTGTGTATAAATAGTATAACTCAGACCTGGTTTCACATTTGAGTTACAATCACACAAACTTCTAGGCAGTATTTCTTGCAAAGTGTCTGCTCACAAGATACTTGTCAACCCATGAAGATGGGAGGGCATGCCATTGTTTCTCTGGGCTGACCAGCATAATCCAGAACTGAGCCGCGTTGTAGCGGTCACAGCTAGCTTCAGAATTGTTAAAGCTGCAGTCATCAGCCAGAACAGATTGCAAGTGACAAAATCAACTGGCTGAGAGGAGGTGGGGGGAGGGATAGCTCAGTGGTTTGAGCATTGGCCTGCTAAACCCAGGGTTGTGAGTTCAATCCTTGAGGGGGCCATTTACAGATCTGGGGCAAAAAATTGAAAGGTCATTGAGTCTAGTCCCCTGCCAAGGTCTCTTCCAGTTCTATGAGATAGGTATATCTCCATATATTATATTATATTATTATTATAAGTTGCTTACATCTCCGGATTTGCACAAACAAGGAACATATCACTCAGCAAAGAAACAGATCTCCGCTAGAGTCAAAATTTATAGCATTCTTATACTTAGCCAATCATTACACCTTAATCTGTTGGCATAAATCTCTCCCATGATAAATAGCTAAGCATGTGAGAAGAGGTCACAGAATGGAACAATTTAAACGCAACTAATGCCACAGACTCACAAGCTCTCTTGTTTTAAGTGACACCTCTCTCTAGCTAAACTAAAATTTGCTGATGAAAGGCAGACCAACAAGCTTCGATTGTTGCTTTCTTGAGAGGTCATGGCCTCCCCATTTCCTTATAACCCAGGATAATATCAGGATCAGCCATGCATACACAGATACCTCACTCGCATGAAGGGGTTGTATGTAAACTCTTCTGCAATAGTGGATGGGATAGTTGGTTCGCCACTGTCATATTTTGCCTGTAAAAAAAGGGGAAAGATTTCTGCTTTATGATGGGTACAGATGTTAAAAGCAATGGTCTTCAGTATCATTCGGAAAAAGCTAAGACTCAGGGTCAGTGCTGTGTTTGCATTGCATCTAGCAGCTCTGAATGCCGCAAGGATACAGGCCAGACTGTTCTCACCAGAGGAAAAGTGGCATAATCCTCCCCGAAACAGACACATCTGTGCAACATTCAAACAGATCCAGGACACAGGCAGATGCTGAGCGGCCCCATTCGTAACCCCTCTAGAAGCAGGAATAGCACATGGGGAGGGGGGACTGGGAAGGACAGAGGGAAGCCAGACATAGGGGCCAGTGCTGGCTCAGAGGGTCTTCAGCTGTCTGGAATTGCCCCTTTGGCTTGGTTTTCCCGCTGCTCCCACCAGCAAGGCTACAGCTATGGCCTCTTTGGGATAAAGACAGTGTGCGAGCTCCGCCCATCTGCCTCGCTACCGCCGCTAATCCCCAAACCCCTTCGCGCTGCTGGGTTTAACCAAACCCAGAACACGACCTGCCTCAGCCTCCTGATCCCTGTCGTTGCCCTCATCCCACCCCTCCACTCCTCTCAGCATCCCTGTCCCTCCCACCAACCACACTCTTACTCTCCTCCTAGCACCATGGCTTCACCCACAAACCTTGCACGACTTTGATGGAGGCGTACAGGTCACCTCTGCCACCACATCACATTGGTGCCGTTGCCCTCCTTCTCCCTCTTATTTGTTAGACTCACTTGTTGCATCTTGTCCCACACTGGACTAAGCTCTGAGACAGCGGCCAGATCTACCTGTGTTTGTACAATGCCTCCCCCTGATCCCAAAAGAGGCTTTGGGATGCTACCCCACTATTAAAATAATTCTAATAAACCACTAAGCCTAATGCCAAGATCCCACTTACCTTAGCCCAGGCTAGTTTTTGTTGGATGGCAGCGTTATTGGGTTCAACGTGACGGGCAAATTTTAGGTTGTTGATGGTGTATTCGTGACCACAGTAAACTCTCTAAGAGAAGGGGCGGGGGGAACAACAACAAAGTTACACTCACACCACTTAACATCCCAGGATCTCAAAGCACCATTACAGAAGTTAGGGCTGCAAACCCGGCTCTAGTGGAGTTAATGGCAAAGGCTCATAATCCTCTAGAACATGGAAATAGATTATATCCACCTTACGGAGGCACAGGGCAAATGGGGAAGAGACCTGCCTGATGTCACATGGCAGAGCTGGGAAGAGAACTCAGGAGTCTGGGTCCCAAGTCCTCTGCTCTAGCCCGCATTCCCTCTTTATGAGCAAAAACCATGCTCCCTTCTCCATTGACCCCTGGCTGTTCTACATGCCAGACAGTCCCTGGATATAGCCCTCGTTCATTCTGAAAGATCACTTCCCCCATTTTGAACAATTTGGTATTAGGAAGGTAGTTTCCTTCTTAAATCTGTAATAGGTTCAGCTTGGTTAATGTGCTAACATGAGATGCGGGATCGATACCGTTTCAGGGTCCAGGCGGCCTAAAATCTCTATCAGGGCTTTGTACATTTCCTCTGGGGTTCCCTCGAAGAACTTCCCACAGCCAGCCACGAACAGCGTGTCACCTGGGAGGGGGACAGGACACAGTGTCATGACCAGACAACACACTGGAGCAGACAATCCCAGAAAAAAAAAAAAAATTGGTACTGTAGCTGGTCATAGCCATCATTACAGGCAAGCTTCCCACACACACAGTTTGCCACTGTAACCAAGAGACGTGGCTAGAAGGCCGTGCTATAGATCCAATGAGCATTGGTCTGTAAAGAGATACGTGATGGTGCCTAACTCTTGGTTGTTTGGGTACGTTGATGAGAGCCTATTAAGGAGCAAGTACATGTGATCAAGTTCAAAGCCTCAGACCTACTTCACTCAAGGGAGGATCACCACCCAGGTTTCCAGAGACAAAAAGTCAATGCACTACCCACTAGCATATTCGCCCACCTAGTCTCCCCTCCAGTTAGCTACACAACTAACAAAGTGGTAAGAAAATACAGGAAAGCAAACATGGAATTTTATTAGCAATCGCTAATTTGGCCCAAGCCTCGCTAGCTGGACAAGTTTAGGGAGATTCCCATTTAGTGAGCTGGGGGATCAGCGTTCACGTCACACTCCCCATCAGCACGGGCAAGCTAGTGATCCAACCAGTGGACCAAATTCGATGATGAATCCTGGTCACGTGCCACCTGAGGCACGTTGCACATATGCTAGGAAGAAGTGAGCTGTGATTGTAACAAGGAACAGGGAAAGAACCTAAACGTAGATAATCAGGAGAACATAAGCAGAGGAAAGACCTGCATTTCTCAGCAACACAGATCGGAGGCAAAAAAACCCACCCAACTTCTCACCTGTAAAGACAGCGGGAGGCTCAGAACTATTTGGTTTAGTCACATAATAACAGATGTGTCCAGAAGTGTGACATGGCGTATAGAGGCATTTCACATGAAGAGATCCCACCTGAGGAGAAAGCCAAAGATTGAAGTTAGGCCACTGTGAACTGGTGGCACGGGAGATTAACTCAATGCTTTTCTAGTTGTACGATTCAGGATGGCCCAGGAATTCTGCAGACAAGTTCTCAGAGCCGCAGAGTAAAATGCCACAGGGGCTCAGCACTGTAAGGAGCGGGGAGAGAACTGAGCGTATTACTTAAAAGCAGGTCCTGAGTCACTCTCGTTTACAGGCAGAGTGACCCAGTCCTTGGCCGTGAACGAGGCCAAGCCAAGAGCAAACAGATCGAGAGACATACAAAACCTAAACAAGTTAATCAAGTGTAAACCGCTACTGCCAGGAGCTATGTTAAAGGGGAAGTGAGCTATACCCAGAGACACAGGGCTGGTCCACACTACCCGCCCAATTCAGCGGGTAGAGATTGATCTTCTGGGATCGATTTATCGCGTCTCATCTGGACGCGATAGATCGATCCCAGAAGCGCTCCCCTATCGACTGCGGAACTCCTGCTCGCCGAGAGGAGGAAGCGCTGTCGACGGGGGAGCCTGCCTGCGCCGCGTGGACCCGCAGTACGTAAATTTAGTTCGATCTAGGAAACTTCGACTTCAGCTATGCTCGTAGCTGAAGTTGCGTTTCATATATCGATCCCCCGCCCCAGTGTGGACCTGCCCACATACTAAAACAGCCTGCTCACCAGGCTATGGGGCCATTTATCACAGACATGAGTTAAAATTTAGTGCCTCCCCCTCCCCCCACACACACACACACTTGCCAGCGTCTCCTGGTGCTTCCTTTTTTGCTAACTATATCCCTAAATGTATATTTCGGAGACGAGCAGAATTCCTGTGCATCGGCACCACTGCAGCATGTTTTACTGGACAGGCTCCAAAACGTAGCTGGCAGATACCTCCGCTGCAGTGAAACGAAAGCTTTCTTCGAAGAACGTCAGTTGGTTTAGCTTAGGAAGAGCACCGCGAGTCCTGAACCACTCACTTCCTCGGGCCGAGTACTGCAGTCCGGCCAGAGCAAGGAGGAGAGAGTCTCCACTCCGCGCTCGCTGACCTGCAGCAGCTCATTTTTAAACCTCGGGCTTAGATACTTACCTGGCCTCCATCACCGTAGTGTCTAAGCACCTCACAGTCTTTAAATGCTTTTATCCTCACAACACCCCCGTGAGGCAGGACAGTGGTATTATCCCCACTGTACAGATGGAGAACAAAGGCAGGGACTTGTCCAAGGTCACACAGGGACGCTCTGGCAGAGCAGGGAACGGAACAGGTTATGACCGATGAACCCTGCAGTGGCTGCCTATGTAGAGACCAGTGGCACCTGTCCAGCTCTAGACAAGCTTCTCAAGTGGAAGGCACATTCCAGATGTGTTATTTTTTACCTGAAATGATGTCGAGTGAGACACTTTCTGTGTCAGGGCTCCCACTCGGTTGTCTCCCCCATATACTCTTAACCCAGACTCCATCTTCACAAGCTTCTCGTTACCCCCGGCATGGTCCCTAAAAGGTCAAAAGGTCACATTTTGGCAGGCCACAAGATGCATTTCTTACAACTCTGGCCCTCCTCTAGCTACACTGCAAAGTCTGGCCAGTCCCCGGGCATTGAATTTTGCCACCTTTTGTAGTGTAAGCAGCTCCATTTTTCTCTTTCCCTGCACTCCACCTCCACACACAGTTTCAGAAGATTCATGGTCACCATCTCCTCCCTGAGGCTATGCCCTATCAAAGCTACTGCTTGACTTCATTGTTCAATTATTCATAGATTCATAGATTCTAGGACTGGAAGGGACCTCGAGAGGTCATCGAGTCCAGTCCCCTGCCCGCATGGCAGGACCAAATACTGTCTAGACCATCCCTGATAGACATTTATCTAACCTACTCTTAAATATCTCCAGAGATGGAGATTCCACAACCTCCCTAGGCAATTTATTCCAGTGTTTAACCACCCTGACAGTTAGGAACTTTTTCCTAATGTCCAACCTAGACCTCCCTTGCTGCAGTTTAAGCCCATTGCTTCTTGTATGTTTTAAGAGGAAGACTGGGGCAATTTCTGCTGTGGGGTTCCCCACTGCAGCTGTGCTGAAGTCAATGGGGTATGTGCTCATTACAAAAAAACCAACCACCCAAAAAAACAAGCCACATTATTGACAAGACGTGACGGTTTTCAGGAGAGCTGGAGGAAGATTACACATCTCAATTCACAATGTAACAGCATTTTCTAGTCTTCAGCGTGAGGTTTTAGAATTGGATACCGTCTTTTCTGCAGAGCAAGAAGAGGGGCTAATGGGACATGGGCCCACATCCTTAGAGGTATTTAGGCACTTAAATGCCGCTGAAATCAATGGAAGATAGGTGCCTAAATACTGCAGCGGATCTGTGCTTTGGACACTGTCATGATGGGTGCTATACAAGTACACAGCTAGGTCAGTTAAACAGAAGCCCTCTTGTGAGTCATTCTTTTTTATTGCTATGAGAAAGCTGGTAGTGTCACCAGCTCCAGTTCAATAGCCTACGCTTGTATTAAAAGTGCTTCCTTAGAGCTTTCATTCCCACCAAACTTGGGTGTTATATAAATCTAATTTCATCACAGCCAGCTAAACAAGATGCCAAGCGAGACAAAGCCAGAGCAACTGTCAAACCGGTTTCCTCGCTCCACTTTCCCTGGGGCTTGATTCGGCTCTCAGTTATGCACACGCAGCATCCCGCAGTGATAAATGCATGCACATACCCAAGGACCAAACTCTGCCTCCGGTAATCTGCTTTGTTGAGGTCGGTTCTCCTGGCTTCACTGGGCTTGGAATCCAAGCCCAGTGAAGCCAGTGGGCAGATTGCCATTGACTTCAGTGGCTCTGGATCAGGCCCATTGAGCCTAACAGGGAATCTCCTTGTAAAGGCGCCTGAGAGATGACAAGTTAGTACATTTCCACTGCGCCCTGGCTCCTCTGAGCAGGAACTCAAGGGTGGGGACCAATATTATCTGGAAGAACCACCCCCTGAATTGTGCTTTGGATGAACAGCTGCCTCCAGAGGCAATTCTGCCCTAAGGAAAACAGATTAGGACATCATAGAACGTAAGTGTTACCAATGGTGATGGGTGGTTAGAACTGTAGTCAGCTTCACGCCATGCTTTCTGACCACTTCCACAACCTACAAACAGAGCGTCATAGAAACATTAGAATTCACATAACCTGGCGTAGGCACGGCCTCGACCATGAGTAGGGGCTTTTGGGCCTCCATTACGGTTTGTAAGGAACTGAGCCAGAACCTGCATCCCAGAACTCGGGCAAGGCTCCCATTAACTTTGCTGGGAATGATGCCAGAGTAAGGACTGCAGATCAGGTCAGTAGGGCTTGCCAGACTGGATCAGAACATCAGTCCAATGTCCCACCTCTGGCAAATACTTGTTACTACATAGGAAGCCAAGAAAAACCTCCATACTGCACCCAGGGCAGATAAAGGGGAGAAAATATCCTTCCTGGTCACGTCTCAACAAACAATTTGGTTACCCTTATCCGAGCAGCTGTATGGACCAGTCATCATGACATTGTCCAGCCTTTTTGCCCCTAACCCAGAGCAAGGCTCATGGTTAATCATTTCCTGCATTTAAATGCAGGGTTAGCTTAGGCAGCACCAAGCCAAACCCAGCTCCCCTTTCACCAGGCAAAGCGCGTTAGCCAGAGCGCCATGGAGCGTTACCTTCTGGGGTTGCACCGGGTCAACAATCGCTGCCTCTTTGGTGTCCTCATCGATGAGGAGATACATGTAGTTGTCCGTGAGGGCCGGAAGCAGCTCCACCTTCATGTTGGTCTGTGTGACTAGCTTAGACCTTCTCAGATCAGAGTCGGCGTGGAGGAAGCCAGCTCCTGGCCGTGTTGCACCTGGGGATGCAGAGGATATTTAAAAACGAGGTTGGTGCAGCAGCGAAACGGGTGGGGGAGGAAGAGTACAGGGGACCCTGTGGCTCTGAACTCCAAGGCTCTGAAGGGCCCCGGAGAAGAGCAGCACGTGGCTTAATGCCGTCTCCCGCTGGAGCGGATATGGGCTGCAACATCTAGGAGGATAATCAAGGGTACAGGAGGGGTGAATCCTCCCAGGCAGAATGCCACCTGCCACAACGAGGAGTCAAATGGCTATCACCTGGCAGTATGGCCCTGCTTCCCCAGGAGAAAACCTGGCAAGCCACCACAGAGATGAGAGACAGGCCCTGGCCCACAGCACTTACAGTCATCAATGAACCTATTTGCATGAGCAAAGTTACACAAGGTCTACGTGATTGCAGGATTGGGCCTAATTTGAGACCTGACAGAGGGGTAACGGAGCAGGCAGAGGGGGGTGGAGGAGGGCAGACAGCTGTCACAGCAGGAGGACTATGGGGTTAACAGCAAAGGTCAGTGTACAGCACAGTGGAGCCAAAATAAAGAAAGATGTTTTAGAGCCATATTTCTCAACAGCCAGTCCAGAGACCAGCGCCAGCCCCGGAGATCTCCCCGACACAGTTTAGAAAGGCAGCATGCCAGTCCCTGGTATCAAAAAGGTTGAGAAATGCTGTTTTAGAGCATAGACAGACACCTTTGGCTCATTCCTTGTAGGCACCATAGCAGCAACGTAGGGCAAAGGGGGAGAGAATGCAGGATTCTCTGCGGAGAACGCCGGCCTCCCCTCGGTATACAAGTTATTAACCAACATACGCTCTGGAGGAAAGGTTTGGGTTAGTGGGCTGCAGCCACTCAGATGTGACAAAACGAGGTGTTCTGCTGTTCGCTTTGGGTGAAGCGTTTAAGCAGATCCAGGACATTTCACACGAAAACAGCCCAAAGTAAAAAAGAAGCCTGTTTAACTCCACATGGAATCAGTATCGAAGAGAAGAGCCAATGGGCAAAAGGATCAGCCATTTAAATGGTGGGGATGAGCAAGAGATGATAGCCCACTTGGCCTCCTGTTTCTCGAGCCTCTAGTCACCTACTCACCAATTTCAGGGCTCCTATGTGTAGTTGTTAAAGGAAAAAAAAAAAAAAAAA